CCACTTTGTGAGTTCACAGCTGAAATAGGAAAGCCCCACCCGAGGAAATCCGGCCTGGAGTTGCCACTTTTCGTTTGATCTGGAACCTGAAAGGAGAAGGTGGTTGTCAACCAATCTCAGATACTTCACTCCAACAATTGGTAAGATGGCCGAGTTGGTCTAAGGCGCCAGGTTAAGGTATACCTTGACTCCATAACTAGCAATAGTTTCCTGGTCTCGCAAGAGGCGTGGGTTCGAATCCCACTCTTATCATTTCCTTTCTTTTTCTTTTTCTTACTTATTTTTTTCCCTTACAGGAGTCGCATGGTTAAATATTTTAGTATCAATAAATATTCATTTCAATTTACTATACTGTCACAAGTCCAAATCATACATGTGGGGGAATTCATTTGTGGATTTTGAGATTCCCCACAGTCCCTACCAATGTGAGAGAGAATATATATACTAGCGACACACGCCCTCAAAACCCACCATATCATTGGGCTATGGACAGCACATAAGCCGCTCGCATCACAATATTGCACATCGGCCAGAGAATGTGACAACTGTAAATACCCTACAGGATATCGAACTCCGATCGGTCTTCATCATGGAAATCAGAACAAATAACCATGCCACCCCTGGACAAAGCACGGTTATCAGCCATGGAAAGATCTTAACGGTATTTCTCAAACTACACTATAGCTGTGTGGTACGACGTCGACAGAGAGAACGGCTCAATTGCAGGCGAGGATTCTAGAGAAGCATATCTACCATGTTGATCGGGGTTGTCATCGAATTGCCAGCCTTCGAGTATAGTGTTCGTGCTGGCTAGTAAAGGCTGTCCGAGTAGCCAAATAACTAAAAATAAACATCAGAGGGCACCTGTACGGATAATCCATATTGGAAAAAAGGAAAGGGAGAAATTCGCGAAAGAAGAAGAAAGCGCAGAAGGAAGCGTGGAAGAGCTTATATAGCAGGGGAAAATAATATGCGAGTCAATAAGTCTACATTAGTGTCCGAGAGATAGAGTATATACATAGATGGGCAATGAAAGAAAGGAACAACCAGATAAATGTCGCATGAGCTATATCTTAACGGCCGAATGTATGAGGTTATCTTATTACCATACTGCAGAAAAGCCTATGTAGTTCTCCAATGATAATACGACAGAGGCAGGATCAGAGTCTGATAGAGTAGATTCTATTGAGTGCGTTTTTGGATCAAAAAGACCGGCAAATTCTGATCACTTCCACCGAATGTAGTGAGATTAGTCTGAGATTGACAAGACTCCGAGGGAGGCTAATAAAATAAGGTTTACAAGCGAGATGAATGGGTCTTAGTACCACGATTGGATCACCTGCTAAAATTGATGAACCATTTGCTTTTAGCTGTGTCCCGCCTCGTTTGCCGAGAATCCTCTCGAGCACAGGAAGGTACATTAGATGTATCATTTCTATGTGTCGATACCTCATTGAGGCTATGCTTTAGGTCTCAATAGATATCTTCAAGTATACGGTATGTGGTATGTAGCGACAAAATTAAGCAATCACACGGACGATCGCACGGACACACTAGTTAGCTATTGAAAATTAGTGTTCCCAGACCAATCGGTAGGCAAGGGGGGGGGGGTCCATCCACACAGCAAAAAGTCGGTGCTCTAAGAACAAATATATGCTTATTGGGTTGATGTTATGCCTGAGAAAGGTTGGGAGACAACTATGGGATGAGATAGTTGCTATTAGACACTTGCTTTTCTGATGTTATCATCACTGCTTTGGGAATCTCAAAAAGGATCCTTCGTATTCATTGGGGATCGTTGATAATTCTTGGGAAATTGGCGATTTAGGCCTGGACAAGAAAATAACACACGCACATGCAGAGCCTCTAAATCTTGTAGCTGTGATAGAATCAGAGTATGAGTTGCATATCATCATCCGAATCACATTCATCCAGTGCGTCGATAAGTGTCGATTAGTATCGGGAGAGTGGATGAAACTAAACCCGGGAGTGGCTTGAAGAACATCCTATAAAACTGCTCCTTCATAGTTTTTCACAATATCAAAGTCACCTGAGTCTATGTCCGAAGATGGGTCCTCTAATCCCGCCCCAATTTCTGGACCTGTCTGTCTAATTTAGATTATCGATTGAGTAACCGGCCCGAGCCGACCGAGTCTAACCGTGGAAACCTTCTGCCATGCGGCGGAGAAACCTCGGAGGAGGGGTTGTGCAACCCCAGTTTCTGTCGCTATCATTAGTTCTTTAACCAATCAATCATCCATACTTAGTAACACTCAGTACAGAGGTACTGAGCCCACCCGCATTCGGCCTCGTAGCCTCAGCTTGTTGTTAAACATTTAGACTTTCGCGCTGTAAAACCATAGTCTCCATTTGCCTAGATACAATCTGCGGAATGAAAATGTCCCTATCAGGAGGTATCTACAACTAGAGGTAATGTCTCATATCTAGTTGTCACGCAATTTAAAACCCCAAGCCCGACTACTGGGATTTGATCAAATCCGCCGCGTGCTCCGCAACCGCATAAATAGTAGCCTGGATATTTCCAGCAATCTCAAGCGGGAAGATACTGGCATCAACAACCCTCACGTTTTTGGTGCCATAAACCCTCAGCTCAGAATCAACAACGCCGCCAAGCTCCTTCGGCAGCATGGCACACGAGCCCACGGGATGGAAACACGTGAACAAGAGATCCTGAACGACATCCTTCGCATGGTCCAGATCCCTCAAATCGATGGTACTCTCAGGCATGCGTTTTCCGGCTTTGAGCAGACCAGAGAGTGGAGCAGTCTCGGAAACGCGCCCCATGAACTGCAACTGCCGGGCCATGATCTCCAGATCAAGCGGGTGGGAGAGCAGGTTCGGGTCGTAGGTGGGCTTATCTTCACTCTTTCCAGAGGCAATGTGGACCGAGCCGCGTGAGAACGGGTGGTTGTGCAGCACCATGATGGAAATGTAGTTCTCCGGGTGAACTTTGGCCAGCACGTCGGTGATGGTTGTTTGGTCTGGTTTCCCGTTGAGCTGGGCAGGGAGGAAGAGGTAGTGCGTGGAGTTCTCGTTCCGGTCGAGGAGTATCCTGCGGATTTGAGAATATTGCGCTTGCAGGTTAGCTGGTGTGCTGTCGTTGTCGAGGTATTTCGAGAGCAGGGCGTTGAGTTCTTCTTGCGGCACGACCCCGGTTCCATCCACCAGCGGGAGATAGGCCATGCTGAGAGGTATGCCGGATAGCGGGCCTCCGCGCGTCTCCTCATAGAGCTTCATGACTGCCTGTACGACGTTGGGATCACGCATGATATCGCCCGAGATTTGGCCATCGGCGATCTCGAAGTTGACGCTCGCGATACTGTGATCTTGAAGATTCTCGCCCACGGCGGGGTTGTCGATCATCACCGGGATGCCGTGGGTCTGGAGAAGATCTGCACCGCCGATACCCGAGAGCTCGAGCACCTGAGGGGAATTCAGGCTGCCTGCGCAGACGATCACTTCTTTCTTTGCCTTGATCTCGTATGAACTGTCCTGAGTCTTGACCTGCACACCAGTGGCAACGACATCTCCCTCCTGTTGGGAGAGGACAATTCGCTCGACCATTGTCTCTGCAAGAAGTCGTAGGTTTGGCCGCGCCGCGACCTCGGGGGAGTAGTATGCCGCTGCATACCCTCTTTTACCCGTCTTGACATCGATGCTTATCGGGGAAGTAAAAGCGCCCAGTTTGTGGCCATTAATAGGATCGGCATCGGTTTCCCAGCCCAATTGCGCAAATGTCTCATTCCAGGCCTTGTGGAATGGCCCATATATATCTGGGTAAGTTACAGGAAGAGGACCATTCGATCCTTGGTTATCGAGTTGCATGTACCGGCTTGTGCCGAGTAGTTCTGCAGTGGCCTCGCTAGGTGCGACATACGAGTGGAACTTTCGAAGATAGGGGGCCATATCCTTGGCACCCCAACCGTCATTTCCTAGCGCCTTCCACGCGTCAAAGTTCGATGCGGCAGGGTACACAATAGCGGAAAAATTCAATGCGGAAGAGCCGCCGACGACCCGACCGCGGGGCTGACCGATCTGTCGGTTTTTCACATGGACCTTTTCATTAATCAGGTTTTCGTCCGAGAAGGCGATGTTTAAGACGGGCATACATACCTGCGGAATACTCATGTAATCCCAGTCAAAGTCCGGGTTACCATACATGGTAGCCATCAATCCAGGGGTATCAATACGCGGATCTCCCATCCGATTGGCGCCAGCTTCGATGAGCAGGACACTGACGGAGGGATCTTCGCTTAGACGATTTGCCAGAACAAGACCGCCGATTCCAGCGCCGATGATGATATAGTCGTAGTCATCCATGTTGTAAGCAACTAGTTTAAAAAACTTGAATCTTTTCCCAGTATGGAGGGGAAATGACAATAATAGAAATATTTAAGATCGAAAGTCGGACAATCGACTGCCAGCAGATAAAAAAGTCCGCGCGGCATTTCTAGGGTTTCGTATCCCGTCGGCTTGGTGGCTGTTACTAGCTCATACTCTGTAACTTGTTCCCGACGTTATTTACCTCAGTGAGGTTAGTGCCCCTAAAAACAAGGAGGTGTACGGGGGTGGAGTGTACCGAGGCCGTTATTTGTTAATAGCCGAAGCCCATACACATAATAGGAGAAATAGTCTTTACAAGCTTGGCTTGGCCCTAACTAGGCTGACATTCGTTCCAATGACAGCCACTTAATTCTCTCTGCAAGTCCACTCTGGGAAATTAATTTGGGTTAAAATAAAACGGCCCGCCATAACGGCTCCATAATCTCCTGCTGATCACCTTGTCAGGCCAATGAGTGGCTAGTTTGAAACCGTAGTGCATAGTACTTTGTACAATTGACGGAGACAATGTTGGTTTCCCGCCGACTGACAGTTCTTCACGGCTCTTAAAGATCCTTCACCCTTTGCAACCATATATGCCCCAAGTGTACATGTTGTACAACACACCAAAAACCGAAAACGGATGAGTTAATGGGAAAATGCAGTTATACAATGTCTTTGGCTTCCCCATCGTGCGCGATCAGCTCATCGCCAACACGGTCCTCGTCGCAATCGCAACACTACTCGTGATATTGCGTGGTGTCTCCCGTCGACTCCGAAAAACCGGTGCAGGATGGGATGATGCATTCTGCGTTGCAGGGCTTTTCCACACATATGGCATGCTCGCAATGCACTACCACTACGCTCGGGTGGGGATGCGATACCACATCACGGAGATTCCCGCGGAGAATGCCGTAGTGATCGCTAAGATGCTCATGGTCTACCAGATCATCTACTACAATGCCATGGTCCTGGCGAAATTCTCCTATCTAGCCTTCTACCTGCGCATCTTTGTGTCCAGGGAATTCCGCATCCTGACGTGGACCTGTATAGGCTTTTCGGCCGCATACTGGGTTGGGAGTATGCTGCAGGTTTTCTTGATCTGCACACCCTTCGCGAGGAACTGGAATCCTACTCTGCCGGGCCACTGCGCGAATCAGAACGTGGCATTTTCGACGATTGGAGCCTTTAACCTGATCACCGATATGATCATCGTGGCGTTGCCAGTTCGCTTTGTCTGGAACCTGAATATGTCGGTTGCGACTAAGATGGGGTTGGTTGGGATCTTTGGATTGGGTGCCTTGTAAGCTTTCTCCTCCCCCAGGTTCGCCGTCGCAAAGCAAAGTTCTAACGAGTATCATAGTATTTCCTCCATCACCATCATCCGTATCCGTGTCCTCACCACGGTTGATTTCACCGATCTGTCTTACTCGATGATCTGGGCTGCCTTCTGGAGTGTCACGGAGCCTGCTCTTGCCATTGGAAATTCTTGCGCACCCATGCTCCGACCAATTCTCAAGGCTGCTTTCCCGTCCTTGTTCGGCAGTCATGATGGATACTCGTCGCAACCGTTCACAGGAGGGCCCACCAGCCAGAGCAAAAACAGTACGGTAAAACGGGGGCATGGCATGGATGAGGAGGATAGCGAATTTCCCCTCACGCGACTGGATCAAATACCAGGGTCGGCGGATGGATTGTCGTTGAATGATCAGTCGCAAGATGGGCGCTCACACTATGCGTCATATCAAGTCTCTACGACTATTGTTGGGCCAGCTAAAGGGTTGTAATAATATCTAATGCTATCAACTATTTCTTTTGTCCATTTTCTTGAAACTACAATATACCAATGCTGCTTTCGTCGATGAACTGTTGTATCCTGTAGTCGAGTGATAGGGTTAGGGTTGGATCTTATGATCTGTGACATTCCGCGCTGTACGGCCGAGTAAGTTATGATTAGCTGTACTCCGTATAAGATACGGTATCGGTCGATGAGGCTGAGGCCTGAATGCTGCACTGGTATTCCAAGTTATATCAGAGGTGGACCTAACGCACCGGGCTTATAGACAACCGTGTTTTATGGACTGCCGTTTCGTCTAAGTAGACATCTCTCGTTTCTCTCTTACTCTCACTCTTACTCTCACTCTCACTCTCACTCTCACTTCTCTCTTACTTTATATACATTACAAGCGTCAAGCTCTCGGAGTGATAAGAGGACCGAATTATAAGCCAATCCCCATCCACTGGTTTCCCCCGCTTTATTTTACAGCTAATTCCGAATACCCGAAAGAAGATACCTAAAACTCCATACAACATACGAGAAACATCGGCTGTTCTGGCCCTGCCCGAAGCAGGTAGTAGCCAGAGACCCGCTCTTCTCCACTCCTTCAGCTCCCTTCATCCCAACAGTTTCGCCAAGATCACCTGGCAATCTTTTCATTCTGGCTGATGAAAAGAGGGTAGAATCGACCATTCATGGACTCAGATTCTGCGTTCTTTTTTTCCCCTGCAAGAGGACTATGGTATCGAAAGAGAACCATACGTGAACCCTCGCGGGCTCGTGCCAACATTGTCCCTACGAATATCTAGAACATGATTAACAGAGTTTATTTGTTGAGTGTAAGACCAGGACTGCGAGCCCAAATAACACGAAAACAAAGAACCAACTACACAACAATATGCGCTGATAGGGCGGGCGTCGGGTTAAGTAGGAGATCATGTCCGTGGCCGAATCCAGGCAACGGTTTTTGTGGGGCGGATGCCTCAGGCAGACGTCAGGGCTGATCCAAGACAGACCCGCTATTCTCCACTTTCCCTTTTCATCCGTTTCGGGAAGATCACTTGGTATTCTTTTCAATATGGAAGCTTTTGATGACAAGAACATTTCTCGAGTTTGAATATGAGGAAAGCAGCTCATTGAGGAGTTGATAGGCCAAGACCCTGACCTAGCTGAACTCCCGCGTACAAACTTTTTTACTCTTTGGTTCTCGGATATTGAAGTCCTTCGAGTGTTTGCAAACGTGCTTCAGAGGGGTGATCCCAATTTCAAATGGCGAAAATATCTATTGTCCACCCCCGACCCAAGTGATGTACCTGGAGTCTGTAAGTGCATCGTGGATCAGAAAGTGCCTTCATGGCAATAAGACAATAAGCTAACAATTGATATACAAAACAGTCGCGTCAAATAAACTCACTGCTATACCCTCAGATTCCTACTATCTAGCAGCCATATTGTGCCTAGGAGTCCAAAATTGCACAGCAAGCAATTACTAGAGATCCTCTTGTCTTACCATTCCATGCTATATACGATAGAGTCCCGGTACATTGAGGATACAATGTCCTTGTCACGGCAGAGGAATTTCAGAGACTCATGGAAATAAAGGTGCATATAAATTGTACCTGGCAACATTTCCGAATTAAAATACATCAATTACTTACACTTGTTGACTACAAATAAATATCTCTACAAATAGAATAGAAAACTGGGGCCGGAGGCTCTTTTTGTATTTTCAACTAGATCCCGCCTCACAGCATATGTTATATATATAAGCTTAAGTGCTAAAAAACCAAATAGGTGGATATGCGGGCTCAGACGGACCAGAGCAGAAAAGGAGAACAAAACAGCAAAAAGGGAAGGGGTACAAGTCGGAGCTACGGCGTCGGTACTTGAGAGGCGCAGGATTGGGGTCCTCGTATGGAACCTTACGACGGCCGACTTGAGTGTCGGTCAGGCGGGTGGAGACAATCGTCCCATGCTTCTTCACGGCCATCTGACCGATTTTACGGTGGTCGTCCATTTCGTGGCGGTGGAGTCCCAGCATAGCGCCAATGAGGGCAAATTTTTAGACCTATAGCTCCGCGGTTAAGATTTGTAAAGAGGATGAGGACAGAGGAGCAGGGGTCCCTTGCTCGGGGATCCTATTGGAGATCCGAGGTTTAATTGTCCAGGGGAAATTTGAGCGGATGGCATTGCCTCACGATCGGCATCTGGTTTAGCCATGTTTTCGTCAGTTGTGTTTCACCGAGAGGGTGCATAGGTCGGTCCTTCCCCGAGTCACTGGGTTCGTGGTTGTCACGGTGAAAGTTTGTCCGGTTTCAGCGTTTCGCAATGCAAGAGATATATATTGCCATTTGGAGAATGCCATATTCTTGTTGAAGGAGAAAGGAAAAGTGGAGAAGAGCGGGTCTCTGACTATTATATGCTTCAGGTTGTCATGTCTTTCTTGTTAGTCTTTAGATATCTTCTTTCGGGTATTCGGAATTAGCCGTAAAATAGTGAACGTGAATTAGCTTATAATTTTATCGTTTTATCACTCCGAAGGCTTGACGCTTGTATTGTATATAAACTAGGAGAGAAGTAAGAGAGAAACGAGAGATGTCTACTTAGACGAAACGCAGTCCATAAAACACGGTTGTCTATAAGCCCGGTGCGTTAGGTCCACCTCTGATATAACTTGGAATACCAGTGCAGAGCCCCGGCGTATCTTATGAGGCCAATTTCTGACCTATATCTAGGCGCAGAGCGGAATGTTATAGGTCATAATTCATTAAGATCTACAATATGCGAAAGATGATAGTAGTTGGTAATTTTGGAAGAGTTAACATTCCAAGAGAAGCTATCTAGGTCATGGACACACGAATGAGCTTGCGTTGGCTTCACCGGAAAGGCCACTAGTCAATAGCACCGCGTAGAGGCCCAAGCTTATGGCTATTGGATCTTCTGGAATAACAGGAGTAGTTCCAGAAGACCCCAGCCTTGGTGGATGGCCGGTATTGATGTGAGAAATGCGTTATCTAGCCATATTTTCAACTTGGGCGACGGAGCGAAGAATGCTTTCAGTCAACATGCTCAGTAGCAGATTCATCTATGCCAGGTAAATCCCGTGCCTTTGAAGGTGATGGAGATCGGGTCGGCATTCTGAAAGGTACGTTCTCAGAGAGCATACGAGCTCCCTTGCTCGGGGACCATGCTGGAGACCCGAGGTTCGATTGCTCAGGGAAAGTGTAAGCCTCCTTGGTCGGAGATCTCGACCTGGAAGTCACAACGACGGAATCACCGTCGGAGTCAAGGTCGCTATCTTCGTCTTCACCCGCTCCTTGCATACTAGCGATGCGACTCAGATTCCACTGCATTTTCAGCAACTCCTCCGATGGAAGTGGATGAGTCACTGGGTTTGTTGTTGTCACGGTGAAAATGTGTCCGGAGGAGATAAGGTTCAAAGATTCACAATGCAACAAATATCTGTTGCCACCTGGAGATGTGGCATATCCTTGGGGTTGATTAGGGAATGGATGGGACATAGTGGGGATGATGTCGGTTCGCTTCTCACTCCCGCGGAGAGGCAACCAATGGAACGCAATGTCCATTTTCGTGTTCTGCTCGTAAGTTCTCAAGTGGCGGAAAGCACACAGGCAATTATCCCAGTAGTTATGTTCTTGACTCGCAAGGGTTATCAGGTTCTTGACCTGTTCGGTATTGATCTGGTGATTTGAGCCACCGAGGAGTTCAGCCTTCCACCTGTCGGCGCGAGCCTCACCCCAGAAGTTTTCGAGCCATTCCCAGGTTGCACCCCGGGTGCTGGAACCGTTCAATTTGTAGGGAATGATATGAGCACACTGAATCCCGGGGTGATCGCGCTTGGTTATGATGCACCTGTTACTATCTCGCTCCAGGCACTAAAGGGCAAGGAAGTTAGCATTATCCTGTCTCAATATTCTCGATCAGCGTACCTTCTTCTTCATAGCGTCGTCTCGCCTTTGTCTTTCTGGCTGAACCAAAGTCAAATCCCGACCAAGGGAGGGGCTTTGCTGAACGGCAGTTGACGATTCGCCGAGGGGGTTTTGCTGGTCATCCCAAGAAGTACGTGGTGTGTTAATCGAACGCTCGCGGAGACCTGGCTGGCCCTTTCGAGGAGACATGGAGCGAGTCCTGCCCGCGGGGCTTTGAGCTGGTACAGGCAATCTAGATCCGGAGGAAGATTTGCCTTTCGAGGACGACTTATTGGCCTGCTTACTTGATGCGACTGTTTTGTATATCAATTGTTAGCTTATTGTCTTGTTACCATGGAGGCACTTTCTGATGCACGATGATGCACTTACAGACTCCAGGTACATCACTTGGGTCGGGGGTGGACAATAGATATTTTCGCCATTTAAAATTGGGATCACCCCTCTGAAGCACGTTTGCAAACACTCGAAGGACTTCAATATCCGAGAACCAAAGAGTAAAAAAGTTTGTACGCGGGAGTTCAGCTAGTCTAGGGTCCTGACGTATCAGCTCCTCGATAAGCTGCCTTCTCTCCTCATCTTCGAACTCGGAAAAAATGTTCTGGTCATCAAGAGGTTCCATATTGAAAAGAAAGTGTTGATGAAAATGCTTGATGAAAATGGTTGACGAAACTGGTTGGAGGAGGGAAGGAAAGTGGAGAAGGGCGGGTCTTGCTTTATTTAGGCTTGACGTCTGCCTGAGGCATTAGCCCCAGGATAACCCGTGCTGTCGGATTCGGCCACGGACTTCTACCTTACACTTTCAAAGAGCCTCGATATCTGAGAACCAAAGAGCAAAAAAGGTTTGCACGCGGGGGTCCAGCTAGGTTGGGGTCCTGACTTATCAATGATTTGCTTTCTCTCGTTAGATAATAAACCCTAAGTACTAGTTGCAGTGGATTTAACCTTCAATAAAGTAGCTGCTAGTACGTTTTGGGAAGGTGAAACTCAAAACTTCCGTTTTCTGTCCTTGGTCCACGAGTGCTACCTGAGGCCGCAAGCTAACATATAAGGGGCACTCTTCCCCCCCTTCTTTTCTCCCTTTTCTTCCTCCTACAACCATCCTGCCGACCAGACGCAAACCCAGTTTCTGCTAGACGTGAGTCTGCAGTGCCCGACCACCCCGACACGCAGCCACCCTCGACACCAACTCAGTTTCTGCTAGACGTGAGTCTGTAGTACCGACCACCCCGACACGCAGCCGCCCTCGACACCAAACCAGTTTCTGTTAGACGTGAGTCTGCAGTGCCCGACACCAGCGACTTCGACACCCGGGTTAGCTCCAAAGGGAGTAACTCGGCCGGTCTTCCCAGAAGACCGGGGTCTCCTGGGACAGCAGTATGCTCCCAGGGGATCCAACAGCCACGAGCTTGGACCTCTCCGTGGTGCTGTTGACTAGTAGCCTTTTGGTGAAGCCAACGCAAGCTCATATTCTTCTCCACTTTCCTTCCCCCTTACAGTATCCTACATCCCATAGTAGATAGAGTAGACTACATCCTTCCCTACGTCATTAATACCTATGATTTAATCAGGTGATTGACGTAAAGCTTGCCTCAAAACTAAGACGAAAGTATTTCTAAATACACTTCCACCCCTTCAGTTCATGATGAATTCCTGTAACTGCCTGAGGTCTGCCTTTGGCGAGATAAATCTCCTTTTTCCCATATTCATCGTTCTGATCTTCTTTCCCAACTAAGTTTGCCATTAAATAACTGCGGGTCTAGTGCCAGCGATCCTACCGACCGCCAGTGTAAGCAGCGTCGCTGGCTAAGGAAGACAATTCCCTTTCTTCCTGGGCACCGAACGCCGTTTGGTCATGCTTGTCGCATGCTTGTAGCATCTTTGGACATCTTTTTATGTGCATATCACGCACATCTTCCGGGGGATCACTCCCATATCTGTCGATTCAATATGTGTCGTACATCCGACAGTTGACGGTCAATCCTTTTTTTCGCAATAATTGACCCTTCAACATTTGCGGAGCGACAGTCATATTGATCTAGCCGGAAGTAGCTAAGGCATCCGATGACCACACCGCCTACGCTCTCTTTCCGCACAGTACGGAGTACAGGCGCAGGCCTATGTCAGATACTCTGCTTTCTTTCTCCGTTGATCAAACGGGTCTTCTTCGGAATAATACGAGTGAACATGTTTGACATGCATGACCTGACGAGCTTGTGGCGGCCATTTCTTAGTCCTGGTGGGGTTGGCCATGGTGGACTCGGTAGAGCATGTCTTGTCATCTGCCTCGGCAGAGGATTATCGCTCGATGTTTGCATTCTTTGCAGATGTGGGGTTTTCCCTCTTTTGCCATTTTGGGTGCCTGCTCCTCTCTCTGATCTACCTCGTATAGAATCTTGAATTGGCTTCCCCCTTTTGATGAAAGCCTGCCACTTAACATATTGAGCCTCCAGATGACATGGATTAACATGGTATTGAGCATCCAGATGACAGGGATTAGAATGTCTCAGCTTTGAGAAGAATTATCTGCACTGTCTCGGCAATAGCGAACTGCTAGTGATGCTTCGTTCTGGAAAGGAGAAACCCCCGAAACATGTGGATCCGTCTTGATGATCTGCATCGATGTAAGGTTTACGCATTAAACTACTGATGATCGTTCGGTAATTGTCCTAGAAAAGTACTAGGCTCAGCTGTCTCCGTGTAGATCACCATGAGCTAGTGGAGACCGAGGCACGCCAAGTATTCAACGGCTTTGATAAAAATGGAGAACGACGTGAACCATCCCGTTGTTCAGGGGAAACCCCATGCATAAAAGCTGGGTGATATCTCTTCTGCAAGGTCAAGTCACAAAAAGTCCTTCTTTGTCAATATGATTCTTGCTTATATCTTTGGCCTGCTGGTCGCCACGTCCGGCGTGGCCAAGGCCGTGGAACTCACCGGTTATGAATATGTCATTGTCGGTTCCGGTGCTGGTGGTGGTCCTCTGGCAGCCCGACTTGCTTTGGCTGGTCACAAGACACTGCTCATTGAGGCTGGTGATGACCAGGGTGAAACTTACAACTACACCATCCCTGCCTACTCCGCCAGAGCCTCCGAAGACGAGAAGCTTTCGTGGAACTTTTTCGTCCACCACTACGAAGATGACGAGCGTCAGGCTCGCGATTGGAAGACTAGCTACGATACGCCCGATGGCGGGATATACACTGGCCTCAACCCTCCCGCGGGTTCGACCTTGAAGGGAACCCTCTACCCTCGTACAGGTACCCTCGGTGGTTGCACTGCCCACAACGCCTTGATTGCAGTCTATCCTTACCAGTCTGACTTTGAATACATTCAGACTATCACCAACGATAGCTCTTGGGCACCCGACAACATGCGCAAGTACTTCACTAAGCTGGAGAACAACGGTTACTCTCTTCCCGCAGTTGAGGGCCACGGTTACGACGGCTGGTTGTCGACCGAAACCGCGCCCCTCAGCATTGTCTTAGAGGATACCCAGTTGCTGAGCTTGCTCACCGGTGGTGCCTATGCGCTCGGTAACACGACCGATCAAGTTATGAACCTTGGCACTCTGCTAGTTGGCGATGCCAATGCTGACACGGAGACCCGTGACACCGAGCCCGGTTACTACCAGATCCCTATCTCCACCGACGACGCTCACCGCAATGGTGCTCGTGAATTCATCATCTCTGTACGCGATGCTACGAATGACGATGGCTCTAAGAAGTACCCTCTTGATGTCCGCATGAACACCCACGTCACCAAGGTGACCTTCAATGAGACCGAAACCCCACCCCGCGCCACCGGTGTGGAGTTCCTCGATGGCGAGCACCTCTACAGGGCCAGTCCTATGTCGAACTCCGCTGTTACTGGTACCCCCGGTTCCGCAACCGCTTCTCGTGAAGTCATCGTTGCCGGTGGAGTATACAATTCTCCCCAGATCCTCAAGCTGAGTGGTATCGGACCCGCCGAGGAACTCGAGAAGTTTGGTATCAAGGTCATCAAGGATCTCCCCGGTGTCGGCACCAACCTCCAGGACCACTATGAGATCTCCGTTCAGGGCAAAGTCGAGGAGGACTTCTCCTGCTTGAACAAGTGCACCTTCAGCATTCGCGACCAGGCGGACCCTTGCATCAGTGATTGGGAGTCTCCTGTTCTTGGCGACCACGGAATTTACTCATCCCCCGGTCTCGCCGCCACCATGCTATACAAGAGCTCCACGGCCACCGATGACTTCGACATTTTCGAATTCGGTGGCCCCGTTAACTTCCGTGGCTACTTCCCCGACTACAGTATCAACGCGACTGACGAGCACAACTGGTTTACCTGGGCTATTCTCAAGTCTCACCCCCGCAACTCTGCTGGAAACGTCGTTCTGCAGTCCGCTGATCCTCTTGACATGCCTAAGATCACCTTCAACTACTTCGACACTGGTGTCGGCGACTACGAGGCTGATCTCACTGCTATGTACGAAGCCATCCAGCTTGCTCGTGACGCGTTCAAGCGCCAGACCGTCAACATCACTGAGGTTCTCCCTGGTGCTGATGTCCAATCCAAGGAAGACATCATCGATTACATCAAGGATGGTACTTGGGGTCACCATGCATCCTGCACTTGCCCCATTGGTGCTGATGATGACACCATGGCTGTCTTGGACTCCAAATTCCGTGTCCGTGGTGTCTCTGGTCTTCGTGTCGTTGATGCTTCCGTTTTCCCCAAAGTCCCCGGTACTTTCACCGCTGTGTCTACTTACATGGTCGCCGAGAAGGCCGCTGATGAGATTCTGAGCGAGCTTGAGGCCAGTTCTTAATTGATTTGGGTGTACATTTTCGGAATTCGGAGGTTTGTAATGATTGTGGATGGAAATGTGAAGGCATGCATTATCATGTATTTTTAATAGGTTCGTTATCAAATATAAACATATTCTATGTAATTCTGCTGAATCAGTTCGCATCTACTTACTCTCTCATCAATACCATATCGGCAGCAGCCTGCGCAATTTCGCTGCCTACATTCATGTGAATGCCGACAGTTGGCTTCCTCTTCCTTTAGACAGAATAACATCAAGTAGTTCATCTCATTATTTCTCTCCGTAAGCTGGATTGGTCTCCCCTGCTTTTTCGGTTGGAATGTTCAAGTCGCCTGCTAGTAAAATCGATCTGGAGCATCGCAGGTCTTCATCAGAAAGGCCGCATTCCCGCAGCAAATAGTTTTCTGCCGTGCCATACTCGTCCTGAATGCCCTTAATTGTTGCAATCATGTTCTCTTCTCTAGATTTCGAGTCAGATAACTGATCAAATTCACGAATATAGAGAAACAGACTCGGCAACAATGATCTCTTCGGCTTTTTTCCTTGCGTCATCACGATTTGCGGTGGCATGATTCAAATAGCTCTCAATACTGTCAACGCACCCTGCAAGACCTTCTGTGCTGAGGCCGTACTCGCTGGCGATAATTGCATCAGACACCCCAGCAAGGAGAAATAAGAGTGCAAAAACCATGCCCGTACGGTCTTTACCAAGCGTACAATGTATAAGTACACACGGGGATTTTCTTTCAAATAAAGAAGTAGGCGTCTTACGACTTCGGTTCCGTTTTGCAGAAGTTGTATGTAGTTCTTCGACACGGACTTCAAGCATGAATTAGACACGTAAAAGATAGAACGGAAGGGAAATAAATAAGGCGAACCCACATTAACCCCGGTTTCTTGGAAAGAATCATATTTTATGAGAAGCTGCTCAATTGAAAAGGCCTCCTTTTCAATGGGCCAGTCCAAAAACACGAACCCTTCTCTTTCCATAATCTCCCGTGGTATCTTCCAAGGTACTGTCGTTTCATTGTGAGATGCAATATTCACAATAAATTTGATCCCCATGGATTTCATTTGTTTCATTCCTACGAGACTTGGCCCTCCTGGATGTGCTGACCGGTATAGAAAGCCCCTCCGGGTTTGTTTTTGATTGCCGAAAGCGCTAGGATAGCCGCCAAACCCGCGAAGGTTGGGAACTCCCTCGAAATCTATAAAATTGAACGGTTGTTCATATTCAAAGTCATCAATTGGTGGCTGAATCGTAAGAGGAATGGTTTGGTCCTTGGAAATGAGATCCGGTGAGTGGTTGACAATTTCCGAACTTGTTTGAGGGTGCTATTCTCCTGTCAATCATAGGAACTTCGAATCAAATGACAGACACATTACCTTTGCCAACAGCCGTTTACTCATCCGAATAAAGACGAATAACTGAAGTATAGCAATCCAAAAAGTAAAAGTTTCAAACATTATTTTTGTTCCAGTACAGGATCGGATTTTTCTGGAAGCGGGTGATCAGAGAAGAGTCGAATGTAGGCTGTAGTTTAAAAGAGCTGTATGTATGGACCATTTGTGGTAGGAGAGATATAAAGCTGGAAAAATCAGCCTTATTAAGAGCCGATTTACTTTGTCTTTCGCGGATCCCATAGCTAAACACAACTCACTGATGCACCTTGCTTGGCTCCCATCGAGAATGATAAATGGCAAGTAAGGTGGGGTGGCACAAGCTGGAGACTTTATGTATGTTAGCAGAGCAGTTAATTTATTCGTATCACTCAAGTGGCCCGTCAACCCAGCTTGCGTATTTAGTGTGCGAAAGTAGTGTAGATCAAACCTCAATAAGTATCACATGAGGACCTAAGTATGTTTGATTATAGGATTATAGTGGTGTGATTTTACTATCATCTATCTTCATCCTTTCAATGACAAGTCCTTCTCCGATACTAGTTTTTAACAAATAAAGAGATCATATAGCAATGATAGCAGCATATATTTTCGCTATGCAAAGGTTGTCCATGGTATAAAAAGAGTACTTTCGGTCCAATATCGTGAGCCACCTCAACCCTTTCAGCGACTCAGATGATAAGAGGACAAATCTAGCTGCCATGCGGTGATACTCTTCCCACCCTTTGCCAAAGTTATTGTGGGGCATCTTCTCCTCTTTTGAATCCGCGATGGAAAAGTCACCATAACCGCGAGGATAAAATATCCGATTGCCATAGATAATCGCCTTGAGCATCTCATACAACGGCTACCACCTTGGCCCAAATGAGTTCACAGCAGCAATATATGAGCAAGATCGCACCAGAATAAGAGGGATGCTGAATCCAGACGTACATCCTTTATGATTAATACCATTGTTGGAAGACTCCACGAGAAGGTCATGGTTCAAGGAGGCGGACGAGATATAGATGGTATTTTCCGAGTATGGAAATAGAGTAAACGAACCATGGATCATACCGACACTGCAAATTTTATATCCATAGCCTGTCAAGAAAGGAGGCACTTTCCCACCTAAATTGGGCGGTTGAAAGGCGCTCTTCATCAAATATGAAGTCTGGAAGACAGAAAGCGCCAGAAGATAGAAAAGGATATTCAACATTTTAGGATAATTGAAGAATAATAGTCAGAGGCCGTTACCATTTGCTCAGGATCGTAATGACCATACCGAAATCTTTGTGAGCAAACGACCCACAGTACGAGAGACCAGGCAAAGCGCAAGCATTCCTCATGATTTATTTGTATGTTCACATGACTAGCATTTTCTCGGAGAAATTGCGGTGTGATTTTTCGCAGTGCAAGCATTATAAAAATATGACGAGAGGGAAGAAAACAGACTAGGCTCCAGGCTGGCTACAAATGCAAGTCAATCATTGGTAGAGATAGATGTAAGGAGATAATTACCGCCGAATAGCGGAGATAAAGTTCGAAGCTACATGATAAATATGTAGCTACTAGCAAGGGATACTCCAGAAGCACAATGTATATATATCTGGTGTATGTTTTCACACTCTTTCTTCGCCGGAAATAGGGACATTTAGAAATTTCAGTATCGGCTTTACGAAAATAGCCGCCAAGTCATCAAATTAACCATGTGGTATGATGCATTCGGCCTAGATAGCATTTCGGATCTCATCTATGGTCAACCTTCAAACTGTCTAGTGACAATGCGCAGTTCAGAACGTGCGTGCTATTGGTGTTTCATTTGCAATCACCTTGTAGATCTATCTGTACTTACTAACAATCCAGTAGAGTGTGCCAAGCGATGGAAGCAATTTCTAGATCCGCAGCTGAATCATATCGAATGGACAGAGGAGGAGGTTTGTTCGACTTTTCCTTCGGAAACAGAGGTTAAAATATTGCTAAAACAACAGAAAGGACCGTCGTTTGGTAGAATATGTGGCCGTGAAAGGACGAAGTTGGAAGGAGATCCAGATAGAAAAATTTCCTTCCCGATCCCGGAACTCGATCAAGAATCAGTCAGTCTCCTTGTGACCGAATGCAAACTTCATTACCGGCTAACAGGCTACTCTCAACGGCAGATATACCATCCTCACTCGACGAGAGAGCAGGCTAGGAAATGGCGGAACCAAGAAGGTTGAACAGCACCAGGGCCAATCAACAGCTACAGAAACTGTATGTCCGACCGACTTATGGCCCAACGACGAAGACGGTCAAATGGATAGGGACGACAATAATAAAGAGGAGAACAAAGCGAGCAGAGAGAAAGAAATCGAGCGGCTGGCCCTATGTGATTCCCACAAGCGCCAGAGCATAGCCAGCTCCAGTTGCAACTCTAAGCTCGAGACCCCGGACAACGCTTATATATGTAATGACCCAGATAAAGTGGCATGGGAAGACATCCCATTCGAAGTCTCCGGCTCTACGTGGGACCCAACGATTCCCTGGGTTGGGGATGCCACCGCGGTCTCGCCCGACTTTCTCCAGGGGCTTAGCTTCAACACATCGGAGACCGCTACGCAAGGTCTATATTCCAATCTTCTGCACTTGCCACAGACCGAAATAGCTGGATTCTCGAGACAAGACATTGTAGGGATGGCAGGCTTCGAGCCGCAGCAACCAGCCAATGTGCCGCCCCTCGGCATCGAGAAGCAGACGATGGCGCGGTCAATTCCCTGTTGCAAATTGCATGTTCTGGTGGATCAAGATTTCAGTTTGTGCGGGAATAAGGCCATAAGAGATGCAGATAAAATAAGTAGCAATATTATCAGCTATGGAGTTTTGTGACAGTGAGAGACCGAGGGAGCCATAGGCCCATCTGAGCTCTCTCGTCCCTGCGTATCTTCTCCATGAATCACGCGTGTACGGCAGGTTTTAGATGCCATCGCGCCAACCGAGTTTTTGCCAGGCAAAAATTAGTAATAAATTAATAATCCACACCGTCATTTGGTGCTGTGCACTGCCATAGTTAGTTAGCTAATTATGATCAGCCCTATAGTATTATTAAATGATCTGATCACCTGATCTATCAAACATGAAGCTATTCAGAGATTACCTAATCTGTCGAAGTCACATGATTCCCCCCCCCTTTTTTTCCCGTACTTTATTCTTCCATATGAACCTACTATTTTCAACCACCCATTGCTCTATGAATATCGCTCTAATTAATATTTAAAAAAAAGTATAATACTTAGAATTAAATGCTCTTTCTTATGGAATTAATTTTATATTTCGAAAAAAAAAATTGGACTAGGTGATCTCTGAATAGCTTCATATTTGATCGATCAGGCGATCAGGTGATTTTCGATTTTCGACTTAATAGGTCTACGGAGTATATAAATCTTCATTTCACGAATGCCACCGTCTTCTTCTTTCCCCTCTTCTCCATTATTTTCCTTTCCCCTATTGTATCCCTTTCCTAAACTCTTCATGCGTACCTACGTGCTTACCTCACTACCAAACCCTGCCCACGTGATTCGATATTTAACTCATCCAACTCTTACTAGTGAAACCTCTTCTTACTTCTCTCACCATTCCAATTCTAATACCCTTTCACCCGAGCCTTTGGCACCTAAACATTCCGAATCCGCCGATCATTTTTCCTCATATCGGCTGGCTCTCAAAAGGGAGATGCTCAGCCAGGTTTGATGCCACGGCGCACATAATCTGCGTAAAGAGATGAGATTTGGGTTCCCAGTAAGCGGCACCTTCCTGGCAATGGAAATTCTCTACTAACTCTATAAGTACCGATCTCTTCGAATGGGATAGGACCAAGGCATGTCCATCTATCGAGCAGCCGTTCAAACCCCAATTCTACAGTCTTCTCGCCGTTCATCGTCTTCTACAAATTCTTTACCGGCAGCTCATACCGTGGCAGCTTCTTCGTCAGGGTCTAGCTGGCATTGCATAATTTGCCCAAACTCCAGGACGACCCTCTCAATGTTATCCTAAAAACCCGCAAATTCCTTTCTCAAGATGATCTACACCTATTACGGGACCGTGTGCGCTCGGCGTCCGGGTGTTCATAAGTGTGTTCATTGTGATTCTCTTCAAGAACCGCTCAGATATTAAAGATTCCTGGCTCCATGATGGATTTGCAGACAGTTTCAGTTGCTTACGCCTACGGTACGATATCCTCCAGGATGTGTCAGATGGCAATTCCTTCTTTGTGACGGGTTTCAACGTCTCAACAGGGAACCAAATCCGCAGGATAGGCACGAGGGTATCAACATGTGCACAACAAGCTATTGTTGAGGGATTCCAGTATCTCTGGGATAAAGAATTGCTATCCCAAAGTGTCTCTATCCTATGGAGGACAGAGTATGATAATGCCACCCTAGCTGGCGTCTCCAGCACAGCCTTATGCCTCCGTTTGCTTTCAGATAGGACATGTCTTCTGTGACGATCTGAGGAGGATCGTACTTGCCAAATGGGGCAGGAGCGGTCACGTCCTCGTACTTGCCAAACGAGGCAGGAACGACTATGCCCTTGCACCTTCCCAAGAAGACGAACGAGAATTAAGCGAGACAAACGCAAGGGTATAAGAAGGGAAGAACGCGCACTCAGATAGTTTCTCTTTTTCCTTTTCTTCTTTGTACTTAGAATTTGATTGGAATTGCACTCTTTTCTTCTGAATCGAATTGGCTCGTAACATTCCAGTTTGTTTCCAGAACTTCGAGACGCCGTTATGCTCCCCAGCTGCCCTTAACGAAGATCATCGCGGTCCACCAAAGACGGATGTTACAGGGTTTCGTCTCAAAGGTGGATTTCTTTTACCACCAGATGTGAGAAAATGCCAGATTCTTTGTGATCCGCCAGAGACACCTGCTGGCTCTGCAACGTTCCCTAGTAGGGAGTGGGCTACTGCGGGGCTGAGGAGGAGACCACTCCCTCGCCTCAACAGTGGGTTCTCGAGGAGAAGCTCACCGAGGATTTCCAAAGCATCACTAACTGTGAACTTGAGTTGGGTGGTGGACCTTCCTTCGCCGTGTTCAAGTACCTCTGCTACAGTGCGATAGATAGTAGCAAGAAGGCATTCATAAGAATTTACTTTCAGATTTCCAACCCCGGAACAGAGTTCCAGCTCCCCCGGCTTCGATAACAACAGGCAGCTCCACCCCGTCAGTATTTAGAGCTAGAAGCTTTGAAGGATCTCAGTGAATAACACTGTAATGTGGTCCCAGCTCTCCTCGCCTATAAAGAAGGAAAGCAAGGTACGGACGGCATATTTCCTGCTATGGGAGTAGTAAGACAGCAGGTACCTACAATCTGTATGTAAACTACTAATAAAATTAAATCCCTTTTATCATATCATTATTAACTGCTTAAGCAACCGCTTGAGAAACCGCTTGAGAAACTGCTTGAGCAACTACTCTAGTAACCGCTTGAGCAACCACTTTAGCAACCACTTTAGCAACCACTTTAGCAACCGCTTAACTAACTAACCACTTAAGCAACTGCTCTAGTAACTGCTTTAATAACTGCTTTAGTAACTAGCCTATAGCACGTAATAGAAATTATCGTCTAGCCAGATTAGGCCTAGTCTATATTTATTCTACCGGTTAGATTATTCTACCAAAGTTAGCCGATTACTTCTTCACCGCATTGATTCTAATGATTTTAGAATAGGAGAAAAGAACGTTCACGTGACATGCACACGAGGTTATGGCATTGGCCCATCATATCTGTAAATGTTCTCTCCTGGCTTAATTTGAGTGATTCGGCTAAACTAATCATCCGTATGCTCGTACAAAATTCCACCCTCTTTGCTGGGTCTTGAAAGGGTTCATCGTTCCATTTCACTGTCAATGAGAGGGAATATATCTACCAAATGGGTAGCAAAAAAAACAGAAACATACAACAGTGAGGATTCGCTGGTGGTCACCCACCCAACTACTAACTCACCGGCGTGTGGCTTAAGTACGGCTGAGCGGACGGGAAGCCCTGTTTTCCACACCCTATGGTCGTATGTATCAGGTTTTGTAGGAGAGAGAAATTTGTAGCTTAATAATTTAGGAATTGCAATCAATCCCTGGGATTTCACCGCTATGAAGGAACTGTCCAGCCGCGAGACGGTGTGTTTTGGTGAGAAGCTACGCCTCGGCCGAAGACTTGCTGAGCATAAAGATGGTTGCACCCAATTGTTGACTGAGCACGATCGCAGCTTGGCCAACATCACTGGCAGCATCGTGAATGAGTACAGATTCCCCGGACTGGAGAGCAGCAAGACTGGTCAGGGCGTAGTAGGCTGCTATGAAAGGCGGTGGAAGTGCAGCAGCTTCTGCCTCTCCCACGCTATGCTGGTATAAAGCGCCTGTGCTTTTTTTTGGTGAAGATTCCCTGGGCAATTCCTGCCACACGGTCTCGTTGAAATACCTGGACAACGTGGCGGACATGGTCATCTGTCCACTCTTCCGTATCCATTCCAAAATCAAGGAGGATATAGCTCGACCGACTCGCTCCCTGTTAGGATATTATGGTGCTTTAGCATTGAAACGCTCCTATGGGATAATGCTCCAGGTATCTCGAGCCGAAGTGCACAGCTCCCGTAGCTTAGACGGGCTGCTGGCGTCTCCACCCACCGACAGGCCATGCCAATAATGGTAATCGGACATAGTCCTTGTCTCAGGTTTAGGCATGTCGCATCGAGCCACATCGGGTCTAAAGTCTATTGTCATTGTTCGTTCTTTCTAGGTTAATTGCTTGAATCGCACCCTGCTTCTCGTGGAATAGGTATGAACGTCTATGGTGAATATTATAATCCTATCTGTCATACTCATTATCTCTATATACGGAACCTTGAAGACCTCTCCAATTTTCGGGGCATCATTATCCCGCGGTTGCACCTTGTTGAGGCTCGAAACCTTTCTATTGGGTACCTAGTACTGTGTACCTAGGTATATCGGCTGGGAAACTTCCAGTTTAGGTAAATCGATGGCCAAGACTACGCCATTTTAGCTATAGTATTCTTTATCGGATGGTAATTACGCCGACATTCATTAAAAACCCGCAGTTATACTACCCCGTGGCGGTCAAGCTAAACTTTAAAGGGGCGACAAGGATGTTTATGGTCAGACTAAGTCTCACTCGTTCAGCCAATCCGGTCGCTCTTCTCCAATATTTTTTTAGTAGTGGTAGAAATTGGTCCTTGTCTTTCGATTACTCCATGTTATATGTGCAGGTGTAGTGTAATCTGTACACCCCGTAGCGACGATCGGTGGGACTTAGCTTTCGGCTGCTCCCGCTACGACAATCTAGAGTTCCTAAATTGATCCCATGCGTCAGTTTTAGACTAGAGCCTTGCAACCAATCAAAGCTCCCCATTCAAATTCAATCTACTACCCCTGCTCCTGCTCCTGCTTGTTTCTTTTTCTCTTTGTGGTGGATTTATAAGCCGCAGCTGCTCTGATTATAAATCCAATCCCTAGTAATGATGTACAGAATACATAGGAAAGGTTCCTGTTCGCTGTTTTTACCATGAGAATTTGTATTTTACCTATTTGACTGTGATAACTATCACCTCTCCTGTCATGGCTGCCCCTAACGACCACATCTTTGAAAAGCCTCCCTTCAACGCTGTTGACAGTAGTGATAGCTCGCCAGCTCCAGATTTCAAAGTGTCTGAAAGTCCAGTGGACGCAAGCAATGAAGCTGAGGCTGCACCGGAGCCGCAACTCCCAGGCCCTTTCCAGTTCGCTTTGGTGACTTTTTCGTTGTGCCTAATCATTTTTGTCATCACTTTGGTGGGTAACAATGCTTACGTGCATATATCTTATCCTATACGAGCCATAAACTAACCTAATATTCCTCATTTAGGACAGTACCGTCCTGGCCACAGCAGTCCCCGTGATTTCGGACCAGTTCAATTCCATCAAAGATATTGGCTGGTACAGTAGTGTCTATTTCATGACCACATCCATCACGCAGTTGCTGTATGGAAAGCTCTACACTTGGTATCACATTCAATATGTCTACACAGTGGCCATGCTATTTTTCTTGGCTGGCTCGGCCATTTGCGGCGCAGCTCCAAACTCCCCAGCCCTGATTGTCGGCCGTGCTGTGGCAGGAATTGGATGTTCGGGTTTACTGGTTGGCACCTTTTCTCTCGTGCCATTCATTGCCCATCCGACAAAGGCACCTTTGTTTATGGGATTGATCGGTGGTACAATGGGCATTGGATATGCCACTGGGCCGCTGATTGGTGGCGCATTCACCGAGCATGTCACCTGGCGATGGAATGTGAGTTACATCGATTACTTTCCCCTGTGAGAATTAAACCTGCTTTGTAATCTAGGCTAACCCGGCTTCAATGGTCTAGTTTTACATCAATCTTCCGATTGGTGCGTTCAGCTATGTCATTTTCCTGCTATTTGTGCACCCACCCAAGCCTCAAGCGCAGCCTCATTCTCTAGTTGAATTCCTCAAGGGATTCGACTTTATCGGTCTCATTACCCTGATTGGAAGCGTCGTCTGTCTCCTTCTCGCGCTGCAATGGGGTGGGGCCACATATGCCTGGGACAGTGGCAGAATCATCGCTCTACTCGTTCTTTTTATTCTGTTGGGAATTATATTCGTCGGTCTGGAGCTCTGGCAGGGAGACAAGAGTATGCTGCCTGGACGTGTGCTAAAACAACGTAGTGTCGCCGCCGTTTGCCTCTTCTGCTTTTGCTCTAGTGGTGCCTCGTTCTTGCTGCTCTATTACATTCCAATGTATGTCTTATCCCATTTCATGTCTTACATGCCGTGACAGAGCCGACTCGCTAATGAATCTATAGTTGGTTCCAAGGAGCTCTAGGGACGAGTCCATTCGGCGCTGGTGTGGACACCCTTCCTCTTGTCATTGCTAATGCCCTATCCTCGCTGTTTGGCGGTATTCTAATCGGAGTGGTCGGACGCATTTGGCCATTCCTCATTTTTGGTTCGACATTTATCTCCCTCGGGGCAGGTCTGTTCACCACATTTACGATCGACATCGGCACGGGAAAATGGATTGGGTACCAAATCCTCTTCGGCCTTGGCATGGGTGTATGTGCTCAAACGCCGGTTATGGTCGCCCAGAATGTGCTTGATTTGGTGGATATTCCTATTGGATCGGGTATTGTGATGTTTACTCAGACCATGGCAGGGTAAGTGTTGCTAGAAATCCATCCAACCGGAAGGGGGAAATGGATAAAGCCATAAATTACTGACATGTTATTGATAGTGCAATCTTTACTGGTGTTGCTCAATCCCTCTTCATCAATCGCCTAGACCAAAACATTGCCAAAACAGATATCCCCAGTATCGACACTAGTCAAATCATGACCGGAGGTGTCACGACTCTGACCAACGGGTTACACGGGGCAGACAAGATCGCCGTCCTCGACGCTTTCAATAAGGCAATGGTAGATATGTGGTTGTTGCCATTGGCTTTGTGTTGCATTAGTATTATTGGTGCCCTGATCGTCGAGCGACGCAAAATTCGGGGACGGGAGAAGGAGACTAAGGAGTCAGCGTCCGCCCCGGTATAGGTTTCAGCCTTGGCATAGTGTACTGTATCATACTTTTGACTTGAGATTGGTTTTGGATAGTCATTGATGGTTTAGAATCGAAAGAAAGAAATTTGACTTCATGAAAATTCTTATTCCTGGATAACAAGGGATGAAGCCAATATAGATTATCAACTGCTACGTAGTTCTTTCCTGATCAACGGGCAAAACCAAAGTTAATAAAATACTATAGGACTAACGCGAGATATACAATGAAAAGGTTCCAAGGTTGTAATACATTAATTTGATGTTGCGTCTTAGGACTGGTTATATCCTCCCATATTGACATCTCATGATAATTTCTTTCCAATGTCTCACGCCTTGGGGGTTTGAGAGGAGAAGAATAGTCGAGATGTGAAGAGGGACGAAGGCTCATGGATGTGGGCTATTTACATAAATTTCATGATATTCATGCACGGATCAATTTTGACACATAGATTGAAGCGCCTCGATGAGGATCACAATATCAAGAAAGTCAAGATGCTCGATAATTTTAAAGAATTCCCAGGTGGATTGATGCCGGATAACAAGAATAGTCGGTCGCTTATGCGGCCTTGTCGTGTCTTTTTCCAGATAAGCTTTCCCCTTTCAGGTTTCATAGCTAGACGGCGGAAAAAGGTGGGAGTGTAAACCATAGGGCAGACCTTTCTATGTATAATTATGTAGGGATATAATGCAAAAATGGCACATTATACCACTCTAAATGCACCACGCCTCGCCAATTTAGAAACTCCTTGAGTTTCAAAGCATCTGCTCTCCGACGATCCTTCAGTTTTACGGGCTTGATGTGCAAACGCGTAGACTTACTACTTACAGAATTGATCATCGGGCCACGTACATACAATACCTAGGTACTGTGACAAGGCAGATCTGATATTGATGGAAAGAGTCCATTCGACTAAAAAATTAAAGTCAGAGGAAAAAGGAAGAAGAAGAGAAAAAATGACAGAGAGACCGATCCAAACAAAAGCTATGTCGCAAACTTATCTGATCGATCTTCTGCTATGTATCTCCCCACGGTATGATCTGGTATGTATTTAAGGCGCCCCACTATATATTACAACAATAGGGTTATAATTATACTTATCTTTAAGTTTAACGGCACAGAAAGCTACCATAAAGTCAAAATACTACTATTTATAATATACCTTCGTATTGCCGTAAAAGTTGGTAGCATAGATTATTGAAGGAAAATAGTTCCTCAATGACATCGAACGGAGTTGATCAACATGCTACGTGATCCCCTGATTACAATGAGTCATATTATACGTGTATTTCTATGTAACTATTCCCTAACTATTCTGAGGATCGAGGAAAAACAATGTCAATTATATGTACCGTTTATATAAGAACACCACATACAATACGCAATTTGCATTGCGTTAGAGCCTACTCACACTGCTGGGTGTTTTTGGATCCAAATAAAGGTTATACTCCCTCGCCAACTTCTCTGCACAAATTGCACCAGTGACATACGCAACGGCCTGCACATGCGCATTTACTAACACCGGCACAACCGACATATCCGCCACACGCAAATTCTCAATACCTATCACCTTGAAATCCGGATCCACAACCGCGTCCACGTCATCCTTCATGCCCATCTTCACTGTTCCTGTCATGTGCCAGCTCGAAGAAATATTCTGCCGCCAGTACTCGAGCAAATCCTCGTCCGACTCACCCTTGGGCATTGCCAGCTCAGCCACGTTGTCCTTGGTATAGGATTCGTGCTTGGCGACACGGAATGAGTCGCGCAAGGCCTCGATCGCGAGTCGGCGATCGAATGGGTGGGCCAGGAACTTGGGGTTGAAAGAGAGCGGAGAGTCTGGATCTGACGACTGCAATGTGACTTCTCCGCGAGTCTGTGCGTTGAACAAGAAGACAAGTAGACAGGAGTAATTCAACGCCTCGTCCGGGAAATCTGGGATGACCCAATGAACGGGGAAATGGGTGAGGACCTCGTAGTGCGGCACAGTTTCCTGTAGAAGATACTTTTGTTCGTCTGCAGGGAGGGCCTTGAATTCCGACGAGGAAGTGAGCTGATCGGTCAGCTTGAACCAGCCAATGCCCAACTCGCAGGCAAATTTCGCCCAAGGTCCTGTCCCGTCTTCTTCCCATTGCTTCTGTGCGGTTTCCATGGCGGCTTTATCGCCATAAAAGGCCTTTCGGTCTGTGCTGGTTTCTGTACGAGTGTTGACCATCGGGACGAAGCAATGGTCGCGAAGCCCCTGGCCAATGGCGGGTGCATCGTGAACGACGGGGATTTTGTATTGCTGGAGTTGGGCGGCGGGGCCAATGCCTGAGTGCATCAGGATGCGAGGGTCGTTTAGCGAGCCGGCGGATAGGATGACTTCCTCTGTAGCGTAGTCTGTTCAGAATTATTAATATCTGGGTCACTCGCAGCGGAAGTAGGTTTTCACATTTATTTCCATTTGATTCAACGCCCACAGCCTTTTTCCCCTCGAGGAGGACACGCTGCACAGGGGCTCCAGTAACAATTGTCAAATTATCCAGTCTCTCCTTGACCAGATCCCCCGCTGTAGAGCGCAAGCCCTTATGCGCCGAGCTAATCAGCACCGACATCCCAATCGGATTCCCGGAATTATGATCTGGGTTCAATGGAAATCCAGCCTGCTCGAAGACATCCAAGAGGTCTGTTAAATCCCGTTCCCACTCCCGCGCAAAGCCCACATGCAACGGGCCCTCGCCTCCATGATTCTCCGTCTTCGGATCCACGTATTTTTTATCTATGCCCTCCGGAATCTCACCATGGAATGTCTCCAGATCCTTGAACTTTTGCTGCACACCTGTCCACGCAAAAGCGTCATCGCCAACAATTCTCGCCCACTCCTGGTAATCATCGCGTGCGCCGATAGTGTACACGCCGAAATTGATGGAGCTTGACCCGCCCATGCACAGGCCGCGACTATAGTCGATCTCACGGTTGTTGCAGTCCGCCTGCGGAGCAGTCTTGAATCCCCAGTTCATTGACTGGTCCTGGAAGGTCAGCCATCGCTGGCCGTCGACGCGAAGGTTGCGATCATCTTTGTTGTCACCTGCTTCGATGAGGAGGACACGGGGTCTTGCGGTGGAATTGGCGAGGCCGGCGGCGAGGGCGCAGCCGGACGGACCACCTGCAAGATGGATTAGGGATAAGGGCCAACGAAGTTAGGGCACAATGAAGATCACTCACTCCCGACGATGATAAAGTCAAAGGTGGACATATTGCACTTTGTGAAACGATGTGGATATCAACTGGGAGTGAACCATGGAAATCACCAGAACGTAGGTACCAAAATTTGGAAATTTAGAAATTTGTGTTCAATTATTGGGAGGAAACGAAGAATAAATACGTGATTTCGGAGAACAGCGGAGAACAATAGGGGGAGAGGGGGCCCTATTCCCAATGTGGTTATTCAAGGAATTCTTGAAGCCCTATATCACATCCTGGACAAGCTGTTTCATGAATTGGCCAATGATACCCTTGGTAGTTGGCTCGTAACCACGGATATCCCCACAGCGCGTGTAACGGGTTCCGAAATCTTTCCGAAGGCTGAGCCGTGGGTCGGGACATTATGGCGAGCTCGACCTTACGGAGCAGCCCCACCGCCCCACCTAGATTTGAGTTTGATCGGCTCCATACGGGACGGGCTGGGGTATACTTTTTGAGTTCAACTCCCCCTTTCGGCTTCTACTTCTAAACCTTACTAATTTATATCATAGGCAAGTGTCAGTCTACCGGCTTGCATAGCCTTGTAATTTTCTACGCATCGCTGGGGTGTAATCCTCAATCTCGTAATTCCCTCGTGTCAGCCTCCCGCCCGTGTCGGACTCACGGACCGTCGGCCACGCACCAATTACAGATCTACCCCTCTTAGCGGGGTGGATTTTATGGAGCCGGTGGGACCACGCAAATTTACAAAATTACAAAACTTACATGGATGATCCTCCAGCGGTTGGCTATTCGCACTATGCGATTAGCCTGGCAAGCTAGTTGCGTAAGTTTATAGTGTAAATCCCGACTCCGTATATTCTGGAGATTCTAAGCGGGTCGGTCTGGCTGGGGCCTTTCTTTATAATTCCCTCCAACTCCCGCTTTCATCTTCCGTTATTTTGTCCTCTGGCTTGCTGACAACTGACGACTCACAAGAATGGCCGGTAACGCCGAAGCATGGACTTTGTTGTCCTTGGCTTTGATCATAATATTAGTCCGTGTCGGGGTACGATGGAAGCTCGTCGGACCAGCCGATTTCCAACTTGATGATTATCTCATGCCATTGGCGGGAGTACGTTGCTTCACCTGTCCTGTAAACACCATTGAAAGAATTAGAATTAACATAATGGTTTTTGACAGGTTCTCTTTGTACTTGAAACAGTAGCAGCGTACCTCGTCGGTGCCAAATACCAGGGCCTTACTAACGGTTACATGACATCTGAAGCTCGAGCAGCTCTCGACCCCAATTCGACTGAATGGGCTCACCGTGTTGCTGGCTCCAAGACCCAAATTGTTGGATGGTCATTTTACACAGCTATTCTCTGGCTGGTTAAATTCAGCTTGGCAGTCTTCTACTCTCGATTGACGTGCGCTTCACATACCACCTTGGATATAACGAACCAATGCGCTAAGCATATCACAGGACTGGCCTCCAACATCTTCCTACCAGAGTTCGACTGGGGTATGTCCTTCTAATTGTGACATACCTCGCAGCAGCGTTGTCGATCCTGCTGTCATGTCAGCCCTTCCATGCATTTTGGCAGATCTACCCCGACCCCGGCAGTGAGTTACACCACAATCAGATATAATCCATAGTCTTCTTACCTTAATATATTTACAGAATTCTGTCAGCCAGCCAACTCCCCCGTTTATGTTTTCGTCGTCGTGATACTCAACATTACCACGGACATCTACCTTCTCTCAATCCCCCTTCCTCTTCTCTGGACTGTCAACATCAATCTGAAACGAAAGATCCCTCTTATGGCTCTCTTTTCCGGCGCTACATTCGTCATGATAGCGGGAATTATTCGGGCGGTTACAATTATGAAGGTACGTCCCATGCAATAATAGGATACCCACGCAGGAACACACACACCTGTGATTTACGCATATATCTGACAGATGCACTATAGTCCAGCCCCGACGGCGCTGAAACCGGCTCCAAATGGGCCTGTCGTGAAACTTTCGTCTCAATCGTTGTCTCTAACCTGCCCATCATTCAACCACTTATCCGCAAGGGCTTCAGGAAGATGGGTCTCTCCCACGTCTTCAGTTCCTCAGATAAAACGTCGGGACAGCCATACCAGCTCTCCAGCCGAGGTTTAAAGAGCTTGACAACCCGCGGCGAAGGCGACACCAAAAAGAGTAAAATGAACGCTGCCGCGCCAACGCATATGCAGACCTCCGCGTGGGGAAGCGATGAGCACATCCTCGCTCCGTCTGAGCCTTCCTCCAAGGATATCACAGTTGTCTCCGAGACTGTCGTGCATAGTGAGCCATGGGGCTTCCAGGAGGCATCTGGGGCGGGTTGTTCGACGACGCCCCCGAAGGAGTGGAATAGTCAGCTATCGCATCGATGAGAGCCACATATACGACATGGGCTGTACTTTTATAATTGGTTACATTAGATCCTTGATGCATATATGGTCATATGAGGCAAGGCGTATGTAAATAATTGATGGGATGGATTTTTGTGCGTATTAGATGGCATTGGAAATATTGGGGTTCTTTTCTTTATTTATTTCTTTATATGGTAATTTTCTTATAGAAATGCACTCTTTTTCTTCTCTACAGTACTAGGTCTTCATACTGCGTATATTTCTTGTGCTAAAAAATCTTAAAACAGAAATCCACTTTCTATTTCACTATCACATCGTCCCACGCCATATGTCATAAGTAAATAGCCTGTATCATTCCCAAACTTCCATTACTGGTCCACAAAATCCGTCGCATGTTCCTTGTACAAAGTACTAGAATCCAAGATCTCTCCAGTAGAGGATCTCACAAAATCAACTTGCAAGTGCTGCTCATCCAAAAACCTAAGCGTACTGTAGCTATAGTCATCCGCATATGCAAACTCCGTATAAGCAGGCTTACTGCCAACAGAGCTCAGACCCTCAACATTACCGGGACCTCCAGCAACGATATACATGGGGGCCTTGGGGTCCTCCATACCATTGGGATCGGCAGTACCATTGACCACAGGTATAAACCGCTGCGAGTTGTGCACATGGCCAAAAATACCGATGTCAACGCCGTACTGGTAAAACAGGCCCTCAAACGCCTCTTGGCAGGGACTGCAGACGTTCGACGATCCACCGGTTGAGTACCAAGGCCTGTGCCCGGCGACGATTAGCCAAGGCGTGACGGACCGGTCGACGGAAGCGAGATCGGCCTTGAGGAACTCGATCTGTTGATTCGCAGTGCCAAATGGCCCGCCGTTCAGCTTGGCGGAGCCACCTTGGCCGCTTGGTGCATTGGGGAAATCCGTTTCGGTGTCGATCATCACAACGTGGGCCATGCCGTATTCGAAGGAATACCAAAAGGGTGGGTTGGAAAGGCTGCGGGCCGTTCGGGCCAGGGTTTGGGCGGTTGGGTTGGATGACGAGGAAATAAAAGACTGCGGCATGGTTTTCTCGTACCGGTGCATGAACTCAGTGAAGTTGTTCTGGCCTTTTGGGCAGAGGCCGTTCAAGTATGGAATCTCTGAGCAGTCTGCTTCGTGGTTTCCCGGGCTGGCCATGTAGAGCTTGCGGCCCGCGATTGGTGCTAGTTGGTCGTAGAATTGTTCGATAATGGACTCGTAGGCTTCTTTGCCGTCGAGCAGGTTTGCGAATTTAAGATACCAGTCGTCGGCGTAAGCGAAATCGCCTGGGTGGATGACAAGCTCGTAGTCGTCTATTGTTTCCGCGAGGCGACCGATTGTGGTGTGGTTTAATTCTGGCTCGATGACTGGAATAGTGTCCTTTTTTGTGCTTCTTTTGCTTGTGAAGCCGTCTTTGCCGTAGACACCTAGATCAATGATCACGTCCATGTTGAAGGCAGTTCTGTCGCCGGGCGTGCGAGGGCTGAGAAAATGGCCTATGGTCGAGTTGGTGGAGTCGATCTTATAGTAGTAGGTTGTCGCGGGGGTCAGGCCTGTTAAGACTGCAACATTTGACCACGTCCGGGAGGGATCGTAGGTGGTCGACGAGGATGAGCAAGCTTTGGTATTCAGGTTGCTTTCTGACAAGCCATAATTCACACAACTTTGATTCAGCTGTTCATAGGTGTTCCAACCAACCGATACAGCTAGAGATGAATAAGTCAGTCCTCTTCAAACCCGCCATATCTCCCAGGCTTCTTACCATTAGGTCCATAGACTGTCAATCGTTGCTGGAATGGTGTTGTCAAGTCCTTCGGGATCTCGGGATAATTGACACCAGCAAAGGCGCAGCTAGCCACAAAGGGCAGCAATTTGAGGGACAGAATTCCCCCCATGACCAAATAATGTTGTTATAATTGAGTCCTAGAATCTGAAGTCTCAAAACTGCATCACAAAGATTATATGATTCAGCTCTATATATACTTTCGTGTCTCGGCGCAGATACCATAAGCATAACATATTTGCATACGATGGAATGCAATTAGGGCCAATCATGTCTGCACGTCGCTCACTCTGCAGATCGTTATTATGCATTGTCACCTTAACCCACAGCGCTGTAGGATTAGTGTAGATATACGGAGTAATAGAGAGCGAAAATTCGGAGATCGACCAACTTTCGGCAACGGGTGGTTTTATATCGGAGGAGGTTTATTGGCCGACCTGGCTTAGTGTGCACGTGTACAAACGTGATAGATCAGTTGGGTTTCCGGGGAATGTAGTTAAATTAGTTAATTTGCGCATGTGATTGCTTATACTTTTGATGAAATGTATACCTGTTTCTTCGCCTTGGAAATTTATGCACATATAGGGAGCACGAAAAGAAGGAAGAGGAAGAGTGATAGATAGAAACCGACAATGATAGTGATCACTGGCCATATGACATTGGAATTCTACCAATTCGGGCCGAAACCGATATTAATCTAATTGGTATGCCCAATAGATTGAGGGAAATCTCTAAGAGGGGCCCATGATAGATAATAGGTCACCAGGGTTATAGATCTATCAAGAGAGAGAAGAGGAAGAGAAGACGTGCACGGATTTGCTCGCCTGATAAACCAGGCAACAATTTACCCCTTATCACGTGACCCATGTGCCGAGGCTTTTCTAGGAGACAACAAACTGAATGCCGACTTCCCTCAGCTTCCCCGGTGGATTTGCTAGAGCCTAGTATTTGCAAGTGTATCGATCGGGTGTACCTTGCTACTATTGACGCCAGTTCATGTGACTATTGGTACCACTACTGAAAAAGTTCATTGTGGATATTGTGGCTCTTGGAGATTCGATACTACTAGTACCATTGCTCGGTAGTTGACCGTCACCTACGGAGTAGAAATTCCCCCGCTTCCTTTCAACTCCATATAACATACATATCTGCACCGACATATCCGCACGCGACCGGAAACCATAGAAGTTCCAATCGCGGAGGCATGATCTTATATCATATTGTGACCGCCTAAACTGGGAACTTTGATGATTTGCAAAAAGCATTCCCCTTGCCCAAGAAACAAAGAGCAACTACTATGCGGTCGGTCCGATAATGCGGACAAATTCTTAGTTAACAAATTCGAAGTCTTACGCTGTCATTCGATATCAACTTCGATTCCTGTAATTGCGGCAAATATTCGATTCATTGGCGCAGCGCTTTTGAGCTGGGGAAACGGGCATCCATGATGATTACCAGGCCCACTTAGTAGGGTCTTTCTCCCGACCGGACTTTCTGGGTGGCCTAGTTAAACGCCAGAAGACAAAGGTCATGTCGGAAATTCCTCGTCGGGATCGAAGCGGTCGGGGTCTCGGAAACCTGCAATGTGTCTAAGGATAGTTAGCATATTCTGTTCTGTAATAGGTGCATATCGTATATCATATACATATCCCCGGTTGACTCGTCGTAGATAATATTCTGCAAAAGAGGGAGCCATGGATGCCATCCATGACGCTTCAACTCTCTTAGGTTTGTCAATTTCACTCTTAACACGCTAAAGGGGATTCTGTAAACATACTCCTAGATATGGCGGAACTTCGTGCGAACGGCCTCGCGTAACTGCGCCGATTCAGGCCTCCAGAACTGATCCGTATCAAGTGGCTTCCCACTGACCCTTTCCCACACAATATTTGTTATGTAGCCGTCTAGAACCACGCCGTCCTTGCCTTGCTTTCCTTCTTTATAGGCGAGGAGAGCTGGGACCACAGTACAGTGTTGTTCACTGAGATCCTTCAAAGCTTCTAGCTCTAAATGCTGACGGTGTGGAGCTGCCTATTATTATCGAAGCCGGGGGAGCTGGAACTCTGTTCCGGGGTTGGGAATCTGAAAGTAAATTCTCATAAATGCCTTCTTGCTACTGTCTGTCGCACTGTAGCAGAGGTACTTGAACACGGCGAAGGAAGGTCCACCACCCAACTCAAGCTTACGGTTGGTCATGCTTTGGAAATCCTCGATGAGCTTCTCCTCGAGAACCCACTGCTGAGGCGAAGGAGTGGTGAAGGTCACTTATGTGCCTAGGCAAAGATCTGAATATCCCATGATAGACATGTTGGTGTGAAGATTCGATGACAAGAGTGCAAAAAGAAAGAGAAAAAACTGATCAGAGATGAGTGAAGAAACCGAAAATTTGAAGGTGAAGGCGTGACAATGATCGAAAGGTGTCGCGATAATACATTGTGGAATAGCGGAGGAATTCCACTAAAGTGAAATTTCCTATCTCCCATCCTCTTCCGCTTACTTCCTCCGCTCATATTCCTATAGAAAAAGCGCCTTATAATCTATAGGGCTACTTATATCTAGTATGGAGAATCACTATAGGTCACGCGTTGTTCTTTAGCGTATCAGAACTTCGGCAGAACTATTATCCCGAATATATATCCACAGCTACCTAAAGTAGTTAGGGGCAATCCAAATGTACTAGGGCGGCAAGAGGGGATTTCCTAACAAATCAAAAAAAAAACAAGACAAAAACATACAACAGTGAGGATTCGCTGGTGGCCACCCACCCAACTACTAACTGACAGCTGAGCAAGAGTACAACATAATTGGGCCATGATACTCAGCTGAAACGGCCGGCATCTTGGCATCTGCACACAGCCACGTGAGAGCCCTAGTAATTGGTTACTTTATGGCTCGAATTATGGGTCCTAGTCCTCAAGATCGTGGTTCGTGCCAATCCCGTCGATCCTGTTTTTCGCTCACTGCGAACTTCGAAGGACACCTTGCTCTTTAAAAGCCTTACAAAGAATATATATATGGGTCTACAAAAATAGCAAGATTTGCAAAGTGGTGCTGGGATTTATAGGCCTATTGAAGGTTTTCATAACAGAGAATAAGCACTGAAGGCGACTTTGTCCCATAGTATTCCATTTGACACCTTGCCCTAGTTCCTCAAAGGTGGATCAGATATATGAAAGGTTGTCCTCCATGATTATGATTTTTCTATATCCCACTTGGAACTCTGGTCCGTTAGAGAGTCAATCTAAGCATATGTCAGTATGAGTATCAAAGAATGTTAGTCGATTTGAGACTGACAAACCTTTCTAGTTGTGCAATAAAATCCACCCCTGCATTCTCCCTTGATCGGGAACAGTGTCCAGCTTTACACCCCTCACAAAGTTCACTGTTGTGAGGACCTCTGCTGCTGCCGGATTCCGAAATCGTCTCTACTGGCACTCCGTTCCATTTTTTGATCCGGTAGACAATTCTCTCGGCGTATGACTGGTCCAGCACTGGTCGACTGACCCAACTGCAGGTTTTACAGCGTTGGTGGTATACCCTCGCATTGTATTCTTGCCCTGGGTATAGACGAATTGTGACGGCGATCATTTTGCTTGACCATCCTCTGGATTTGCATGCTCGGTTATGGCATACAAAGCGACCCATGATGTTTGTATCATGATCTCTGATGCGCCTTGCGTCATTGTCATCCTCGTGGAATTTGAAATAAAGATTTTCCTCGACCAACAATGTTGATACCTCGTCGTGAAGAGCTGGATACATAGACCATTTGGCTATGGGCTTCTTTCTTTTAGCTGGAACCATCTTTTGTGGCATGTAGAGCAGCTGAAAGAATGAAACGATCAAGATATTCTTTTGACCTTGATGAAGGATGCGTGTTAAAGTCAAAAGATCGGATGGAAGCTAGTAGTGGTAGTTTGAAGAGTGCGATAGCTGGATTTTATCGTCAGGAATCTAGTATTTTCACAAATTATGACGGCGAGAAAAGCTTCGCTATGAGGGTGGGCAAAAAGAGAAAAATGGAAGGGAGGGATAGAGAGTAGATATAGACCACCGAAAAAAGCAAACAACGTTCGAGAGGCTTGCCATCATGGTGTCTCCGATAGTAAAGCTTACTTGATTGCTGCCACCTGTACACCTGTCTGACCAATCTCGAAATACCACGTAGAATACAGGCAATGACTCTTGCATTTTCGGGAACCAATGAGCCAGTCTTCGGCCATGGTCCGCTGAACAGAGGCCAAAATTCACACAAGATAAAGCTGTACTTTGTCAGCCGGTTCTCGTTGTCTAGGTATTTTATTGAATCCAGCGATTCTTTGGAGTCCGAATTAGAACTCTCGCATAGTTCAAGGAAGGCGGTATCTAGCTCCCATCAAACAAAACCCCGCTCCATCTGCCGTCGTGCTTTGATATATGGGTACCTAACCACCATGGTATATGACGGCTCTTATTGCTTCGTCACACGCATGCGCCGAAGAATGCAAGTATGCGTTGGCACAAAATTTTAGTCTTAGTAGAAGGATGCCTCCTGCATATATTGGATTCTTACATCGACGCGGAACACGGGTTTTAGTATTTCATGACCAGAGAAGACAAACTTGGCAGCCAATGGAGAGAGATAGTATGCGCGCTTTTTAACAATAAAAGCATCGGAAAACCCGCCAATCTTGCGCATGTGAAATTGGCACGGCATAATCGGGGGTTCAACAAGTCAATAGTAAGATGTATTTTCCAACCACTAAATGCTTTCAGTCCAGCCGTCACACCCAATCATATATCCCTCTGCCGTTGATACTGGAAATTCCGGTACAAGAAGAAAACATCAAGGAAGGCATCTACTAATCTATTCTCTATAAATTTGATACATATTGCAAAAAGGCCCTATAGGGGGTTGGGACCCGCATAAATCATGAGGTCGACATTGGAGAGACTTTTCAAGGATTAATGAAGACATCAGTGGATATCGCCAGTACGCAGAATTTGTGTAATATTTACCCTGTTGTTTAGACAGCTTAGAAAGCTATATATATCCTTTAATCAGAGGAAAATAGTATTTCGGGAAACCGGACTAATATGCGTTGTAACCACACTGATGTTGGGGTAGTTTCACCTTCTGCGCTGGTGTTTTATCATACTTTGGTTGTTGCTCGGGCCATTCCTCTCTAAAAACCTACGAAAATGAAGTTTTAGATATTGTGGGTAGCAGCTCATATTTGTTGATTCGTGATGGCGAGATGAGGATTTGGCTATTGATTTTCGACTCGCTTCACAGGAACAGACCTAAGCCACGGCGCACAAAGAACCACTTGCTGATCACCCAGTACAATAAGTCTAGCTCAAGCGATCTGAGGGTTACATGGGTTGGTCAGTACAGCCCCGGGCCTGGTCCACGCATAGTACTTAAAATATGTGTTTGGGCCCCGTCGCACTTAGCGGCGGGTTCGGGTATGACCAAGGCGACACTGTACAAACTATAGAACGTAGTTAGCATTGTCGCGTGATATGGATACCAAAGTGAGTGGAATCTTAAGAAGACTGAAAGTGTGGGACATTTTGAAGAAGCTTTCTAAGAGCATAAAGGACTGGTGGAGGAAAAGAACCATCCATGATTCTAAAGGAGTACTCAGTCTACTCTACTTTTGGGTAGCTTATCTAGCACGTAATTTCTTCTGGCTAGATCTTTATGTAGAGCTTTGGGTAGAGAATGAACTAGATTAATTTCCCCGAAACTCAAATCCAGCAGTTTGACCCCATGGCGATCGCTACCTAGATGAACGGCCCGGAGCTGCCCGCTGACCCCGACTCTCCCTAGCCTCCCATCGCGTGCTCCTATCGCGTGGAGGGCATACCAATAAACAATGGGGGAAAAAGCGAGAATGACGTATTTTTTCTCTCCTCCTGTTTATTCCTTTTTTTCACAGAAAACCCCGGCAGAAGTTATGGATACTGTAATTATTACTGGGACACCAACTAGGGTATGCCTAGTTCGCCGCCGAGTTGCCTTTTTGCCTGTCAGGCTTCCCTCCTAATATTCTCACCCTTGCGTTATAGAATAGCTAAGGTGCCTTCAGACCCTATCATTCTCTATAGAAGTATCTAGGCGGCTACTCTGTTCGCTCTAGCGTACTTATGTGTCGATGATCCATTTGTGAAAGTGGATATCCGTGGATGCAAGACACCAGCGCCCTGCGAATTTCCCAACTGCACGAGGCAAGCACAGCCACCTCCTCTCATTATAGTCTTGACTAGACCCCAAGGCGTTGGACTCGCTGCGCCCCGAATAGCGCCTACGCTGTGGGGCAGCTACAACAGTAATGTTAGTTCATTGCCTCCTTGAAACTAGGATTAGGGGCCGCGAAGATGAAGTCTCGCCTGCGAGTTTCCGCATACGTCAGGGTTGGACTATATATTAGTATTTATATCTAGACAACTGTCGGAATGCCCATAGCTATACTCTTTCATGACTGTAGACCACACTGTTCAAGTCTCAGACCTACACTTTACCCATGCCATTCACATCCAAAGAACGGAAGCAGGTCGAAAGACTCAAACGGAAGTATAGAATTGAATTCCGCGGAGAGGTGCCAAGCTCTGAATGGTCCGATAGCCATCGTCCGACTTTTATTGCGGTTGGTGAGCTAGGAAAGAGGCAATTCGACACCTATGCGGCTTGTGCGACAGCTATTGAAAATGCACCATGGACTGCAGAAATAAGAAACATGCCGATGAACTCTCTGAGCGGGCTAAGCGCTATGTGAGTCGAAATGAATCGACCTGGCGGTTTGCGTGCGAACCCTACGCATTGGCTCGACTTACTTCAGAGGTCGTCTGGTAGAAATTCTAGTTCCAACGATATTAACAAAATGGCTTACATTGGAACCCAGCAAGTTTTGTCGAAAGCGAGTATGGCGTTCGGAAATCGAAGCGACAAGTGAGGGGAACTCGACTATGACAGAAGCCCTGCGTGTTAGGCAGAATAAACGAGAGCCCTGTCGGTGTCCGCGAGACTTCAGACTTGAGGATTCGTGAGTTACAAATTAAGAACACATCACCCGCTAGTCACTGGCACTAACAAGCCACGCAGAATGGAAGCTGTCGGGTTGAATCGGATTTTTGGCCATCGGGAAGATGAACCAGTACACCACGATTCAACTATCCAGAAAGAACTACCAAGTGCAACAAAACCGGATGCAATCTACGGACTTCGGCAGACTCGAAACATTGAAAACCTCGTGAACGATACAGCCTGTATACATAGAGCGGAGGATGATCATGATATGCTTGTTCATGAGATCCTGGGAGATCCCCCGCTCAGTGAGGAAGGAGATCCAGTGGTGTTCCCATTCCTTCTTCTCGGGGCAAAGTCGGCGAAGTCGGCAGATAGCGATTGGAATTCCATTAAGTTGCAATCCGCGTTTCCGGTGCGGACTCTGTTATGCACGCAGGAGTTGTTGAAGAATATGACCGAGCCGCACGCGAAGCGGCAGACTGATCCATTAGTCTGGTTACTAATGAATAGAGGAGAGGATTGGCGAGTGTCTGTGGCATGCGTATATAATGGTGCAGGCGAGAAACCTGGGACCATCGGTACTACTGAATATGTTCGTTTCACCTGCGGTTCTTGTTCTAAGAGACGTTTCCTGGAGCAAAGATGGCGCGTGCTAATTTTCTCCCAGCAAATTTTTGATCTGTGGGGAGGCTCTATTACATCGAGAAATGGGGCATTGCAACTTCTGCTGATTGTCGATTATGTCTTCGAGTGGGCTCGTGACATTTATCGAGGACATATTGAACAAACTCAGGATCGTAGCATCCGGGGAGAATGATTGTGCAAGCATGATTCATCCAGATACCGACATATTTTCCACATTCACGGCAATACATCCTAACATGTCGGAGGAAAACGATAGAAGCACCCAAGACAGCTATCATCGGGGTCTCAAAGGTTTCGAAGCAATGGACAACCAGCTGGGGATCATTCGACATGCCACCTTTGTCGAGAGCCAATATCGTTGCTTTTTAGTGACAAGAGACAATGTGACGACAATGCTACAATCAACTCAAGATAAAGCTAGAAAAATCCTCGCCAGCCAAATCATCACAAAGTTACAAGAGACTCCTCTATCGATAAGTTGGGCCTGCCTGGGTATGATGGAGGAGGAGTGGACTGGACGTTCCAGGACGCCACGATCACATCATCTCGATCAAACCAAATTCTATGCTTCAGTGACATATGCTTCATTCCTACTGCCGAACTGGGTGAAGGTTTGGGAGTTGACCGTGATCGCCGTTGCTGAAGATGCATTTGAGCATCTCGTTACAGCCTCCGTGTACAGCCCCCGGCGAGTAACTTGTCGGCCGCCTTTGGTGGGAAACGAATGTGAAATCGAAGTGCTGAAGAATATCATCGCTAAACTTCATGCGGGAACTACGAGACATATCCTCTTCGCTGCCATCCGACGAATTTGTCTGAGAGTAGGTGGCGGGGGATTTCAGATTCGGTTGGTGGCTAGCAATGCAATCCCTAGGGATATCGTCCATTACATTTACAACCAGTTCAAGAAAGGGGAACTCGAACCCCAAGAACCATTTTTACATACATTGAGTTCCTTTGAACAGATACATTTGTCAAATTCCTCACTGGAGCCTTTTAACTTCGGTGATCTCGATGTTTTCGCAGACGGGTGTGTTCTGGTCTATGCCCAAGGCCATAAACACGATGCTGGACGCCAGATGAGCTCGGTATGCGTCCTTCTCATGGATGGACCACCCGATTTACCAACGCCAGAGACTTTAGGTATGGCAATCAAAAACACGTTTGAGAACCATGATGTCTATCACACCTCGTGGATTCATAGGGTCCCGAACATCCGCGGCCTAGGAAAGGATAAAGCTGGAGAAAGGTGGAATATCAAAAATTCTTATGGTATTTTCTCAGAAGGATTTCAATTTGTAGATTGGATCCTATTTCTGGGTTGCGAACCTCCCGTTCGCCAAGGTTCGCCACGGCCCGGGATGAGCGCGTATCTCTTTTCACGCAATCATTACCCTTGGCAGGAACCTGGATACATTTATCCATCCATTGCCGGGCGGATTTTCAACATTTACAAAACTGTCACTCGGGAGGTTCAATACTGGCGGACTATTGCGAAGGAATGCAAAGACCAGGGGATCGACTGCTGTGATCTTTGCGTCGGTGAAGTGGAAATTGGGCGAGATATTTGCAAACAGTGCAGTGCTGAGATCGTCCAAGTAGACGAGTTTTGGTTCAAAAATGCCCTTCTTGGGAAGCAGCCAATTGACTATAGACCCATCGACCCAGACTTTCAAGAATTCGCGCGAAATTTGCGCTTCAAGATGGAAGATCATGAAGTAAGCGACATCGATGTCAAGTTTGAGAAATACCTCAGTTTCTACGAGGAACTAGATGAGGGATACGATAACTTGCATGAATTACGAACGCAAACTATGAAGTTTGAGAGGATTCAGTGGGAAGCAGAGTGGCAATCTAGGAAACGGAAAAGGTCTTCTGATATAGGTTCAGAAACTGACTCCACGGAGAAGATTTAAATTGTGAAGTTACTATTATTCAAACCGCTGCTGTCTCGAAGGTTGTTACACCCCAAATGTCATTTAGCTTACCCAATGATAAATTCTCTTCATTCTACCTCTGCCTCTCCGAAAGGACTTTGTCATTGACATTGAAGATATCCTATTACACCACACAGATACAGCTCCCCGGGGCTAATGTACTAGCATTATAATGTTTGTTCTGTGAATTAAATAAGAACTGACGTGGCGTTGCGAACCAAAGTCACAGCCTCGTATCCGAGAGTTTTGATTTTATGCATAGGATCATGCTCTGACGGGCTCGGGGAACGAGATAGATCCAGAACAAAGCCATACATCGATAAATGAAGAGGTGATATAATGATAAGGTTGTTTCGAGGTTAGGGAATGTTGGGGTTGTTTGCATGTTTTACGTCCAAGGTTTGTATATTACCCATGGTTGACGAGCTCTCACCTGGGCAACTTTCTCAAGTCCTACTCCAATCGCATCATTTGCAACATCATTAATCCCTAACCTATCATGTCTAACTCTTCTAACTCTGGTCAAGTCCTCTCTGGCCTCGAGGGCACACAAATTACGATGAACACTCCGCCCCAACCCCCGATTAACTTTGTGCCTAAGATCTGGGAGATAGTCGAAAAGATTGAAGAGGATATCGTGACCCAGTCCGAGCAAAATTTCATTGATGGTAGGGGTCCTGCATACGTTGCTGGAAAGTTTTTGTGTCGCCCCTCCGGTGCGCAAGGGCCCCTCGGGTTCTTGCGTATCTATCAGCAGATACCCTGGCTTGGAACATAATTGCAAAAGGCTTCAGTCCGAGCTGCCCAGGATATCGGGCCTTTCGAGCCCCCAGAGCTCCAAGCCCTGAAGCACTTCAAGCAGCGAGGCTGTAAAGTTGTTCCCGAGCTTCTTGGATATCAGTTTGGGAAGCAGGATAAGGGAGATCTCATACCGGGCGGATTTGTCACATATGTGATATGGGAGAAGGTGCCTGGCGAGCCCTTGGAATTCACCCGGTTCTGGAATTGCGCTTTCTCGGAGCGGCAAAACATTCGCGTCAAGTTCCGACAGATTTACGAGTACGTTGCCTACGCGATTGCCTATTCAGGGCTGACATGAACTAGGATGCTTTTACCGTTTGACTACCAAGTTTGGGTACCCAGTTGCACTAAAATCATATACGAATGGTCTACTGGAGAGATGTACGTGTGATTCTTGCTCTCTGGTTATCCTCGATGATGATGAGATAGCTGACTGATTCATTTCAGGCACATATCCGGCTTCAAAGATGCGAGCAACCGCTTTCCTGATAAGGTTTGGAGCGACGCTGACTATGCCCTGCACGATCCTGTTTTAGTGGATCCGTCCTTCAAGTCGTATTTCCCCATTGAGAGCACCGACTTGTACCGAGACGACAATGGCTGGGAATGGTAGATAGATCAAGCCTCTTTCTCTTAAGTTATCTTCCTGGATTTTCATTCGAGTTGATGGTGGGTTATATGATAATCCACTGGTTCAGAAATAGCTTATCACGATAAATGCAAGTTCAAACTAGCCTTTTAAGAATTCGGGATTCATTATCACCTAATATAACTATTAATATAATTCACAAGCGAGTGGCCACCCTACCCAAAACGCGTCCATGAATTAGGACTTAGTTAGTTCAACCACCCACCATGCCACCAATACGCTCTCAATCATCTACAGATTCAATAGAGCAAGAGGATAGGATCTTATTAGCTATCCAGGCTTTGAAGAATCAAGAATTTACCAGTATTTCTCTCGCCGCTCGCACTTTTAATGCACCGCGTTTAATACTTCGGCACCGCCTTAGTGGTATATAATACCGCGCGACTTCTCGCGCTAACTCAACTGAATTATTAAAGGGGGACAAACGGGGGAGAGGGATATATAATAGCTAGTCCTTAGGTCTAAGCCTTCCTTCTCCATCAATAAGATTCCGAATTGACACTGTACCTACTTCTTTCATCCCAGCTGTACGAAACCTTCTACCAACTGGTGACCTCTGTCCCTAGATGGATATATCGAGTGTTCTTATGTCTCGTCAAGCTTCATTTCCAAAAAGTTATTAATAGAGGTCCATAACGGGGCCTAAGATGAACATGATATTGCTATACTGAACAAACAAAAACAAAAACATACAACAGTGAGGATTCGCTGGTGGTCACCCACCCAACTACTAACTCACCGGCGTGTGGCTTGAGTACGGCTGAGCGGACGGGAAGCCCTGTTTTCCACACCCTATGGTCGTATGTACCAGTTCATGTGGGGGAGAGGTATGTAGAGTGAGAAAATTGGGTTGTGGAACGGACTGGGTGCAACAAGAATAAGCAGGGTAAGAATTGGGTGAGAATTTTCCTAGGTAGGAATCTTATCTGTTAATCTGTTTGACCATGAAGAAAATCAATTCATGTTCGGTTTTTTATACCGTGTTTCGGACGCTAGCTTAACCCAAGATAAAACCATCAGTAGGAACCTTAGAACTATATACTCCCTACAACTACACGTGTGGGAACGGCCTGCACAAAAATACCTATCGGGGCCGCAAACCTTAAATGAGCGCATTCTGACGCATCTATGGTTGAATCAGATCAAGACAGTTAAGAACACAACTCCAGGCCTTGATCTCGTTATCTTTCATCATTCAATCTTCGATCATGGCAGACGAACAACCTGAATTCGTTCCACCCCCCGAGGGACTGTGGATACTTGATGATACTGGGAAAAATCTCAAATTCCTGTCCGAAGAAGAGCTCAACCGAAATGCTATCGAAACCACTGATAATACGATACCCAGAGAGCCACCCGCAGAGGTCATCACCTACCCTTACTCCTCCTCAAGAGAAGATGCAAGATGGGCTCCGCGACTTGGGCTGGAATGACGCTGCCATTCACAACTTGCTCACTATCCTTGAAGATGCACAGCGGTACAACGTTGCAAAGCTGCGCCAGAAAAAGGCTCGATGCGCTCGGCAATCAAAATACAATGGATTTCTCCTATCTCAAACGTGGACTTTCTAGTACAGCTGATGAAGATTATCAACTGCAGCTGTACCTGTTGGATGAGGTAAAGCGAAGACGTCTGGTTATGCTTGGAGAAGAATAAGAATAGCTGGAAAGGCATATGGTTAGCGTTGAGGAGAATGATAAGCAGGAAGGTAGTGGTTACAATGGACGTCTGTTTCAAGTGCAATTTTCATAGTGTCAAATTTGGTGAACAACTTCAATACTATCTTTATCCCACGACCATACCATCTAAGCCACATATTTATATTGATCCAACACCAGAGATAGGGTTTGAAATTGAATTGATATTCGCTATAAAACATTAGATGTATATCTATAGGGACAAAGACGTATCCGGGGCCAAGTGATATGTCAAACTCGGTATGGCAAGATCCGTAAAGAGGAATCGTGTTGTGTGTATGTTTGTAATTGAAGGTAAACAGCCCAGCTTGCTCCCATGCGGGAATCTGAATAAAGCGGGATTTGCTAGCTTACTTTCGAGATGGTCTAAAGTCACCTAGGGGTCATGGTGGGGCACGATATGACAAATTTCTGGTACTCTTGTCGAGTATGCCCAACACTTAGTACCGGCAATTCGTAATGTCTCTCCAGATATATATTGTACATATTTCGGGGATCTGAAGGGTCCTTAAGCTTATTAGAAAAACTTTTCGTTCCGCGAACATTCCGTGATGATTCCATGGCTAATCCGAATCAACCGAACCCCCTCTGATGCAGAGTAGATCCAGAATCTACGCCTGGAAGCACTACAGTTCTTCTCCTGGAAACTCATACGAGTCATACCTATAATGCCGGCCTCCGATGGCGGAGCCCTAACATGTCCAATGATCTTAGAAAGCGACCCAAGTGCATAGAAAGCCTCCTAATCATTAGCATCGTAAAATCCGACTTAGTTAAAAAGCATATATATATGAAAGCTTATAATCAACTGTCGCCTTGGTTATATGTCCTAAATAAAGTCCTAAAGTCCACGCTTTTCCGCTCTCCACGTCATATCGACATACTTTCTATATGCCAGCACATAGTATCTACATCCTCCCTTCATACTCCTACGTATCCACCTCTAATATGGGTGTTAAGCCCAGAACCGACCGCCCCGTCGCAGTCATCGGCGGCGGCGTCCTCGGCCGCCGCATCGGCTGTGTCTTCATCGCTACCGGCTACTATGTCCACATCCGGGATCCCTCGCCGGAGGCTCTCCGCGACGCGGCAGAGTACATCGATCACCACAAAGCCGAGTTCTCGTTGATGCCGCGTATTCACAAGGCCCGTGAAGGAGATAGCGACGGAAACCCGAACGAGCCCAAGACCCACGTTTCCCAGGTTGATATCGAGGCGTATACTTCTGCGCCCTACGGTATCTGCAAGACTTTCACCGAGCTGGAGCCCGCTGTTTCCAATGCTTGGCTGGTTATCGAGGCTGTGCCTGAGGTGCTGCAGTCCAAGATTGATACTTTGGCGGAATTGGATAAGTGCGCTCCGGCGGATTGTTATATCGGCTCTAGCAGCTCTTCAATGAAGTCAAACTTGATGCTTACCAAGGTCTCCCCCGAGCGTCAGCGCGAAGTACTCAGTATTCACTTCGCTATGCTTCCTGCTATCCGCATTGTCGAGCTGATGACGTGTGTAAGACCGACCCCGAGATCCTCCCTTACCTGGAGACTGTCTTGGGCGAGTGTGGCATGTTGCCAGTGACAGCTCACCGTGAATCGACCGGGTATGTACTATAATTCTAATAATAAAGTAAATAGCCCCCATAGCAGCACAGCATACTGACTCCAAACCCGCAGATTCATCTTCAACCGCATCTGGTCAGCAGTCAAGCGCGAAATCATGCAAATCCTCTCCGAAGGCGTCAGCGACCCCGGCGAAATCGACCTCCTCTGGGAACACATGTTCAAGAACGGCCCTCTCCCCTGCCAATTGATGGACCAAGTCGGCCTCAACACCGTCGCCTTCAACGAAGACAGCTATATCCAAGAGCGGGGTCTCCCCTCCGGTCCAACCGTCGACTGGCTACGCAAGGAATACATCGACCAAGGACGCCTCGGCAAGAAGAGCAAAAAGGGCGGCCTCTACCCCCCGCTCGCGAAATCCTCTTCCGCAGAAGCAACCCCAGCAAACCCGCACAGCGCAGCAAAAGACATTTACCTGCTCGATGTCGGGCTCGGCGGAAACGCAAAGGACGTTTCGCAGGTGCACGCGAACGGCAAGATCCTGCGCTTCAACCTCGCAACACAGAGAATCACTCCTGTCCTTGTCGGCCAGAACCTGCCGGACAGTATCGACGTGTCACTGAGCACGCAGCGCATCTTCTGGACGAATATGGGTCGCAGCATGGCTGCCTGTGATGGCTCTGTTTGGTCGGCTGATCTTGACGGTGGCGATGTGACGTGTATTGTCCCTGTTAGACAGGTGCACACGCCTAAGCAGATTGCGGTTATCGAGCCGCGGAAGCTGATTTACTTCTGTGACCGTGAGGGCACAAGCGTGCACCGCTGTGACTATGATGGTAGTAATCACGTTATTCTGGTACAGCGCCGTGCGGAGCCTGGCTTGAGTCTGTTAGAGCGGACGACGCTTTGGTGTGTGGGTGTTACTGTCGATGTTGAGCGCGGTCTCTTGTATTGGACCCAGAAGGGACCTGCTAAGGCTGGTCGTGGTCAGATCTTCTGCGCTGGCTTGGATATTCCGGCCGGTGAGACTGCTGAGAATCGGACTGATATCCAGCGTCTGTGGGACAAGCTCCCCGAACCTATTGATATTGAGTTGGATACTGAGACTCAGACTCTGTACTGGACGGATCGTGGTGAGCACCCTTTCGGCTGCACGCTGAACCGCGCGTACATTGGTGGTGAAGAGATGGATATGGAGAAGGTTATTCTGGCGCGTCATTTCCACGAGCCTATTGGCTTGAAGTTGGATAAGGCGAACAACATTGTGTATGTGGCTGACCTGGGTGGTAGCTTGTACTCGGTATCGTTGGAAGATGGACTTAGAACCGAGCTTGTGCGCAATGATGTTTGCTTCACTGGTTTGACATTGATTTGACTTCTAGCGAAACATATATCTTGGAGAATAGATTATCGATCCACCCTCGCAGTAACGAAGAGCCCCCACGTAACATGGGATGAAAGCTAACATGTAACCGTGACGAAGTGGCTATCTCGTGGCTTTATCACGATGTGGGGGATTAACCCTAATTCATTTAGCTATTGTGATAGTTAATATGCACGATACAACATTGTGCATATGCATAGCTGAAACAGACTAAAGCAATACAACATAAACACAATAATAATGGCACCCCTGTCTTCCCCTCGTCCATTCCTAGACAGCCAGGGACTGCCGATCCCCTACCGCGTCTTCCCAATCCCCACCCCAATCAGCTCTGCATCACTACATATACTAGTAGGACTCCCTACCTATATCCATCACACCAGATTTCAGGTAGCAGCATCTACCAAACCCCTGAAATGCACCTCCAAAACCTCCTACCCATCCTCTCCGCCTTGGGAACAACCTCAGCCGCCATTATTACCTCCAAACCAGCCCACCTGTGGGCAACCCACTACAATGGGAACGTCTACACCCTAGCCCTGAAGAATAATGACCTCTCCATATCACAAACACTCAAGACCTGCGGCGACATGCCGAGCTGGTTAACCCTAGACGCGCAGACCCGTACCGTCTACTGCTCCGATGAGAGCGGAACTGCCGATCCTTCCACGAATGGCACGTTGACGGCCCTGCATGTCAAACCAGACGGCACGCTGCGTAAAAGCGCGGTCGCGAAGACTGTCGGTGGCGGCGTGAATAGTGTTATTTATGAGTCGGATGCGGGGAAGAAGTTTATTGCAATTGCGCATTAGTATGTTTTTCTTCCTTACCTACATGCCCAGTCTTGGCTGCCTAGGATTGTGTTGTTGTGGATGTGGTGTGGGCCTATACTAACAATCAAATAGCGAAGGCTCAGCCATCTCAACCTTCGCCCTACCTATTAAACAAAACCAACCAAGCCTGCAAGCCTTCCATTTCAACCTGACAAGACCGGGCAAATTCGACCAGCAGGACTCGCCGCACCCGCACGAAGTCATCCTCGACCCGACCGGCTCGTTCATCGTCAGTCCGGATCTCGGCGCGGATCTGCTGCGCGTGTATGCGATCGAGGATGGTCCGTCGGGAAAGCTGTCAGAGTGTCCGAGCGTGAACATTACCTACGGCAGCGGGCCGCGACACGGCGTGTTTTGGACAGATGGCACCGGCCGGTCTGAGGTTGGGTCGACACATTCGCGGAAGATAGCCGCTGTCGGCGAGACGATGTTCTATCTTGTTAATGAGATCGGGGGTACGATGATGGTTTTTGACGTTTCATATTCGAGGTCTGGGTGTTTGTCTTTTGAGCAGACGCAGACACTGGTGCCGTATCCCGGGGGTGTTATGCCGGAGGGTGCGACGCCGGCTGGGATTAGCAGAATCAGGAATGCGCTTTATGTTTCGATTCGGAGTGATCAGGGGTTCGCGCCGAGTGATTCAATGGTTGTGCTTGATCGGTCTCCTGTAGATGGGTCGGTTGAATTGCGGGACTCATCTTCTGCATTTGGCAAGGTGCCGCGGACCTTTGTGATCAACCGTGCTGGAGACCTGGTTGCCGTTGGAAATCAAGCTTCTGCGACGGTCGCGATTGTGCGCCGGGATCCGAAGACAGGGAATTTGGGTGAGGAGATTGCTTCTCTACAGGTTGGCGAGCCTGGAAAGGTGGGAACTGCGGAGGGTCTTAGCAGTGTCATCTGGGATGAGTAGATTGGTTATATAAATCAAGAATTGGATGTGGGAGGACACGCCTGTCTCCCATGGCCACAGCTCTCTTCTATAAACAGAAAATGAAATCATTGCAGTACAAGTTGCATCACATGAAAGACTTGAAAAAGCATCAAAGCATATACTTCATGACCAAAGATATGTCCACCAGAATGCGAAAAAAGAGAATGTAGAAAATTGAATGTCGAAGACCAGCTTCTTCGGGATTTTGTTGACTGTCGGAAACCTGCGCCGAAAAGACCTGGCCTGAAAAAAAAAAGCAACTCCTGCAACATCGTCTGGATGATAGATCCTGCCAGATCAGTGAAAAAAAGAAACCCAGAAAACCGGAAATGCCGATGGAATGAAGAATAAATAACAATATAAGAATGAACGTGTACCAAACATCAGTCGTAAAATGCGTAATGCCAAAAATGTAGGCTGTCTTAATGAAGTCGTTCACTTGATGTCGATTTGGAAAGCCTTCCATTTGCCTCCCACCGTTCGACAGCGAGGACACCCACGAGGACCAGGGTAGCTTGTCGGTCCTTGTGAGGCATTATTTAATGGTCCATTCCCCGGGGTTCGGAATGAAGCGGGCGGGCTTGAAATGAACATGCCCACGCAGTCGCGGCAAACTCCACAGATGCACTCCGTACAAGCATAGCACTCATTCAGTGCCGAGGGTCGTTTGCACTGAGCGCAAAACACCTGAACCTCTTTGTTGCGGAAAGACGCCGGAGTAGGGTTGGAAAATCGGTGATGTTGGCGCTGGGACATGGACGGGATAAGATTCATAACTGGGCTGGAATCAGAGTTTATGGACGGCGCGACTCCCGAAACCGATGATGCAAAATTTCTACCCGATGCTGAAGACATGGAATCGAGCGATGATTCAATAGATGGGAATGGTTCCAAGTCGCTCTCACGGCTGCGGTGATTCTCGTATGGTGGTGGGGTCAATGATTTGTGCAAAGGCGAGGCGGCGTATGAATGCGGTGGGAATGGCCTATGTGAAGAGATCGGAGGCAATCCTGTGGATTGGAAAGCGGGTGGTAGCGAGGACCGATTTTTCACCCCAGAGGGGGCAGACGTCACGCTGGAAAGTAGTGGGGCAATCGTTGGAGACCGACCAGCCTAAATTGGCGCATCAGTACCCAAGAAAAATTCCAGAATTGCATTCAAACTCACCTCTGAATATGGCTCATCGTCTACTTCGGTTGCCGACGTCGCCGCTTCAATCAAGTCCTCCCAGCGCTTGCCTTGCGCCCAGGCCGCGGTTTGTGGCTCTGCCGAAAGGGCTTTGCGGTCACCGAGGCTTGGTCGCCGGCCGAATTCCTTTGACTTGGGGCGATCCTGCTTAGGTTTCCGGGCCGATTGGGTGATGGAAGATTTGCGCGGGCGGCAAAATTTGTCTCTCCGCTGGATCGGCGGTAATGTGGATGAGCGACCAGGCGGGGAGTGATTGAGGATGGACGGGAGAAGCTCGCGCGGACGAGGCGTAAACGGCGGAAGGGATTCCTGCTTGAAATGGTCGCGGAGTGGGGGAAGTTCAATAGCTCCGCGCATGCGAGGATGACTCAAGTCGGTATCCGAATGGGTATCCTGGGGAAATGCAGGTCAGTGCCACTGTGGAGAGACTCAGGGGTCGGAGCCCACAACAGCCCGGAGCGACAAACCATGTCTGTATCCCAATCCGAGGCCAGTCTATGGTGATGCAGTTGTGCCAAAGCCACCGCCGCCGTGGCCGCAGCTGGGTGGGGTTCATCCAGAGCTCGAGGGGTAGGCGGGGAGCCGTCCGCCACATAGATGTCTCTTTCCGGCGCCACATCTGTGCGTAGCCGTCAGTACGTGTAGCGACCAAGCAAGGCAATCAAGACCAAAAAAAAAAAAAAAACTGACCATGAGGTCGACGAGGTTGAGCGGGTTCGGGAGGTGACAGCTGCACCCGTTGCTCGAGCGGGGTGTTCACCATCATCAGGAAGCTCTCCTCGGTAGCCGGGAGCTTCGGGATGTAGTGGTTCGGGTGCGCACGTCGAATGTGCTCCTGCATGGAGCGATAGCGTTTTTCCTAGAGCACCAACCGGATTAGTTCAAGTTGGAACTCCCGAGTTGCACGGGTATAGCTCTCGCACGCCGGTGATAGGTGGGGCTTGGGGGCGAGTACTCACACCGAGACATCGCTTGCGACAATTGGAACTATCATTGTTCTTCAAGGGACAGACCACCTCATTATTGGCATCGGTTACCGAGAACGAGCTGGTCAGTGAGCTTCGAGGAGGCATGGTGCATATGATCATCCGAGATCCCGGGAGTTGAGATAAAAAAAGGAGGGGCGAATAAAGAGGGCAGCCAAGCACAGACAGGGTTGATATGAACAAGAAAGGGAAATGCAGTTCAACATGCTCTGTGTGTAGAGAAGAAGAAGGGAAGAATTGGAAAAGGGTAAAAAAAAGGAAAAGGACGAGAGGGCGGCTCATACGGAGTACATTCAGAGAGTACTTCGAGGGCTAGTTGTGGGAGAGTCACTGGGGGTATTACGGGTAATTACGCAGAGTTCGCCTTATTCTATTTTTTACTCCGTGCTTCTTCGATTGGGTGAATATTTGGTATCTGTCGTTGGATTCAAATTCTGCTATTAATTCTCGTCCGGAATAGCTTCCCTCTCTACTTCTGATTGTATAGTTCTGTAGTTGTGAGCTCGAATACCTGGCTATCGTGCCTATCGAGTATCGATAACCAAAAGAGGGGCGTGCAGCTTTGAGCTTCCCTGGTAAAGTAAACCCCCATTCTTGGAATTTAGCTTATTTACTTGTTAAAGTGGAATTCAACGAAATACAAAGGAAATGAAAGGAAATGAAAAGGAAATTAACGAGGAAATTAACAAGGGAAAGGAGTGAAAAATGAAAGAAAAAAGAAAAAGATACGGTATTGTACAGAACTGGTATTTAAATACAACCGATTAGCACGGTTCGTCGGAAACCCCGGTGGAACACCGAAGCTCTTAGCGATTTTCATTGAATTTATAAATTCTGTTAAGTGACATCCATGAATGTCGATTTTTTTATTCGGACTATTAATAAAATAAACACATATCTAGCGCTGTTCTAATGCACAACCCGGGCAAAAGGAAAGAAACCGAAATATGTCGCGATAGGCGCTATCAGCGGCCCCTCTGAAGCTCTCCCCAGCTCCTGAGCTTCATTCCAGAAGGGAGGAAGCTCCGGGTGGCGAACTAGCGCCACGTTACA